AAATGGAACCTTCCAATAAGTGTCCTTCAACCTCTTGTATTCCGGGTCATCCTCACTAACATCAGATTTCACTTCCTCCCCACTGTCAGGTACACCTAGAAACTCATGCGCATCTTTTGCCTCAATTGCCTGCCCTTGCCCTCTAATGGTCAAAAAATGCGTTGGTGGGTCATAGCATCTCAACAATGACACAAGTAGATCACGTGGAAGTTGCTTCACATTCACATTAAGCAAGTTCCCAAATCCCATCCTCTGAACTTTCTGCCTCAACCGCCTGTTCTTCTTCACATATTCAGCCAATGATAGAAATCCGGGCAATGAGCACCGGGTGTACAAGGGAACATCATACTTCTTCTTCTCACCTTTCTGTGGCTTCGTTTTCCTTGCCCTCTCATTATACCTATCTTTCTCTTCTTCACTCAGGGCCCTCCATGCCTTCCCCACTTCAATTTTTTCTTCTCTTGCGTTTTTACACTTCTCACCTCGTTTAGCCATATACTCCCTTCTGAACAACACAAGCCCACTGTGGACTCCTTTGCTTGTGGACCCTTCCCCTTCTTCCAACACCATCTCGTATAGTTCTGCAAAGTCATCAAGGTACCATCATTAAATCATAATTTTAATACATTTACTACACATCTAGTTCTTTCCAGATTCGTTATGGTCATTTCCAATTAATTCATTGTCATTTACAATATGGCCATTACAGAGTGACAGTAAGGATGCTGGTATGAATATGGTCGTTTCCAGTTAATTTATTGTCATTACCAATATGCCCATTACAGACTAACAGTTAGGTCAGTACTATGAATATGGTCATTTCCAATTAATTCATTGTCATTTACAATATGGCCATTACAGAGTGACAGTAAGGATGCTGGTATGAATATGGTCGTTTCCAGTTAACTTATTGTCATTACCAATATGCCCATTACAGACTAACAGTTAGGTCATTACTATGAATATGGTCATTCCCACTTAATTCATTGTCATTACCAACATGGCCATTACAGTCTGACAGTAAGGTCATTACTATGAATATGGTCATTTCAAGTTCCTTCATAGTCATTTACCAGTTTGGTATTGTCATTTCCAGTTTATTCATATAATCTTTCCACTCATTCAGACAGTAAGGTCATTACTATGAATATGGTCATTTTAGGTTCGATCATAGTCATTTACCAGTATGTTATTGTCATTTCCAGTTGTTCATATAATTTTTCCAGTCAATCAGACAATTTTCCTACTGATTTCAAAACCCATTTTTCCAGTTCTCAACTACGTTATTAAAAACAGAATAGCTTGCCACAGCGACTCAGCATAAACCCTTAATCGCCATTCCTGTCATTCACAAACTTCATCGCGTCATATCTAAATATTGCCCAATCATTGATTCCCAGACTCACCCAGAAACGTCGACCACAGCACGAAACTTAAATGCCTGAACTTACCTCACTGAAATGCTGTTGATGCTTGTTAACTGCAATGGTGAATCACCGTGCGCCAACCTTCGTCTTTCCACACAATCAGTCAGACGCGACCACGTTCGCCCTTCGAACAGCACGCCCTTCCACTTCCAACTCCTCTGCTCTCTTACGCACACACTATTTCGGGGTCCTCAACTGTCCAGCTTGCCGGCGTTTTTAGGGCAACAATGGGGATGGTGGAAGCGAGAAACCGGGAAGCACGACGGTCAGTGCAGGAGTGTTCGCGCGCGCCTTCTCTCTCTCCGCTTTCAAACGCTGATTGACAGGGGCTGTTTTGTAATTGTGCAACATTTGCATAATCCCAAATCAGGCAACACTTCCCTATCTGGTAATACATTTGCTTAGCTTCCCATTCTGGCATTTTATTATTTCAGCCTTCTTTATCTGTCATTTTCCCAATTATTTATCCTCCTCTAGCTTTGGCAATTTCAATGTCTTTTCCCCGTACGCGAGCTTTTTTTCCTAACTAATACCTCAAGAGAAATTCTTGCGTACACCTGGCGTACCACCTCATTTGTGTACTGGCCAGTAACATTTTGACAGCTCAAGAAATCTATATCCTACTTGTCCGCCAACGTGACACCTCCCCGTTCTATTATTTAAATATTTTTTTTAATAATATGTGTTTTTTTATTGTCTCTCTCTTCTATCCTCTCTCCCATCTGCAATTTAAAAAAAAAAACTTTCACTTCTGTCCCTTATTTGCCGCCACTCCTCCCATCTCTCTTCCCCCACCATGCCACACTTTCTTTCGTCTTTCCCTTCCGGCCTTCCCTCATCCCCTCCATCTCTCATATATGATCTTGTCTCGGCAAGAGGCCCTGTGGAGGTTATGATAAATCACTCTTCATGTGTTTGTGGGTTTCACTGCTCATATCTTTTCTCCCCTCCATCTCCCTCTCATATATTGTGTCTGATTTGTTTGGAAAATATGAAAAAGAAGGAGAAGTTTCTGGCCCGTGAGAAATCAGTATCTTGTTCTATACCTCCTCCGGCATCCACATGCTAGTCACCGATTACTAACTCACCAAGCTTAGACATTAGCGTCGTCACTTTTCAGAGACGGTGACGCAGCGGCCACGATCGGCGCAGACCCTGATCCCTCCGTGGAGCGCCCCATTTTTCAGCTGGCATCGGTGGTTTAGGCCACTCTCCTGTACTTCGACGAAGGTGGGTCTCATGATATCCACTTGCCTGAGAGAGGGAGATGGGAGGAGTGGCGGTACTTGAGAGAGGGAAGAGAGATGGGAGGAGGGGGGGACTGTCGGTACTGAGACGGAGAGAGCCAGAGAGGGAAAACGAAAGTTTTGAAAAAAAATTTTGCAGACAGGAGAGAGAGCAGGAGAAAAAGAAAATAAAGAAATCTGTATTTCAAAAATAATAATTAAAATAATAGCGGGAGATGAGTGACATTCAGGCTGACAAGTAAGATAAAGATTGATCATGCTGTCAAAATATGACTGGCCAGTGCATAAATGAGGTGGTACGCTGGGTGCATGCAAGAATTTCTCAGACCTCAAAAGCTCCCACTCTTTAACTTTAACTTTCCCTGTACGGCGCCTTGTCATTGTTTATTGTCCTCTAGTTTTGGCAATTTCAATGAGCCTTTTTCTTAACTACTATTCACTTGGAATCACGATTATGAGAACTTATAATCACATTTTAGGTAAGCGGAGGCAAAATTTATTTTGCATACTAACCTTATATTCCATAAATCACGATTAAAAAATTACTTATAAGTTATTTCAAATGAATCCTACCTCCACTCTTTATAATATAAGAATTAGTTATGGGTTAGATGTGATTCTAATTATAAGACTTAAATATACTTTATTTCCAAAATTTATAATAATTCTCCAAAATATCCTTGTTGAACCAAGTGTTAATTCCAATACATATGATTAAAGAGGATAATTTAGAAAACACATTTGTTACAACTAACTTAACTAATTTCGTTAATATCTCCAAATTAGTTATCTAGGTTTTATAAAAAGAATAGGATGTAGTCCCATGGAAAAATTAAATGTCATTTCTTTAAAGCTATTTTAAAATTTACAATTATTTTTAATTATGAATTAGACTGATTTTCTTGTTATTAATGATTCAAAATATTTTTATAAAGTAAAAAATTGAAATCACCTCTCTTGCTATAATATTTACTAAATAAATTAAATATGAATATTTTAATATATTTTTATACTAGCTAGCTAGATAGAAGCATTAAGACCCTTTGACTTTTCTCTATTCCTAGATTATTTTCTTCCAATCACAGAAATGAAACAGAATGTTTAATTTAACCCTTGTCATTTCATATTAAATATAAATGTCGCACCCCTATTAGAACTTTGGTTTTCGTTTTAAAATAATGCTAAAATATACAAATAGCTGAGCCGGACGATGGGAATTGACGAATACAGCCACATATAACTTAGTTCTTGTGTTTTAAAAAAAATGAAATTATATATCTAATAAAGATAGGGACTAAATTATAAAATAGTTAAAAGTTAAAACTATAAAGATCAAGTTACATCAAGTCAAAATTCAGAAATTGAGTTACAATTGAGTCAAAATTATAAGGATTAAGTTGCACCAAGTCGAAGTGTATGAATTAAGATACAAACAAATTAAAATTATAAAGGATAAAAAGTTAATTTTTTCTTTTAATTTTTGCTCTCAAAATTTAAGAGAGATCATATCTATCTTACCAAAAGAAAAAAGGCATTTTAAGGCTAGTTTTTAAAAATGAGCTCTCACTTTCTATTTATGTTCATAACAATCATTAACATGCATCGAACCAGAAATTGTAAGGCGTGTTGGTAAACTAAGTGCTATGTGTTACACCTTTTAATGCGGCCGTCTTTTTTTAAATTATATTTTTATTTGATTTGCAATAATTGCATCAACCTTCCACTGTTAATTATTAAAAAAAAGCAATAAAGCAGAAAATTAAAAGAAAAAGACGACCTGACCATTTGTGTCCTACTCAAAAGTGGATTGACACATCTTAATAGCATAGTTAAAAAAATCAGACTGAACTGACCAGTTCAACCGAAAAACCGACTAATATTCCGGTCTGGTTAGAGTGTTGGACCAGTAAAAAATTAAACCAGACTAGTCAGAAATTAAACCAGTATCAACCTGATCTAACTGGTGAAAACCAGTCAAAATTGTGGTATGATCCAATTAAACAAGTATCAACCTGGTCAAACCAGCTAGTGAGCCAATGCACATTTCCGTGCCTCCATGCCTTTACTTTTTAAGTTGGAGCCCATTGCTTTCAAAGCCGAAGGAAGGCCTTGTGCATAACTCACCAGATAGTTGGAGATTCCTTCATACTCCACTGGAGGTTTGTCCAAGTGGAAGGCATATCGAGAGAAAAGCTCAAGGGAGTCATTATTATTTAGTTCCTTCATTCCATATTCATCAATATGCACCATCAATCAGTAGTTGCTTATTTCTTGTTGTCACGATGACTTTACTGCCATTTCCACACCAATCACGACCTCCCACAAGTTATTCTGATTGTTCCATCTCATCTATGTCATCAAGAACAGGAAGAACTCTTCTACGGCATAGCCTCTGCTTTATCTTAGAGATCCCTTCTTCAACACTTCTAAACTTGATCTTTTTCTTCTCATCAAGAACCTCTGATAGAAGCGTCTTTTGAAGACGTACCATGCCTTTGCTCCCTTTAGCAGCTGTTCTGATGTCAGTAAGAAAACAGGCCTCTTCAAATTGGTGGACGACTGAATTATATGCAGCCTTGGCAAGTGTCGTTTTGCCAACTCCTTCAGTTCCATGAATTCCTAAAATAGACACGATATCAAGAAGTGAAGTGACATCTTTTATGCAAGCGTCGAGTCCAACTATGTGCTCCCCAATATGTAAGCGTTTAGGCGGTAACTTGGAAAATGCCTCTTCAACAATCTTCTCACCAAAGTCATATTCAGATCTACACATGAATGCATTAACACTTCTTTATCACCATGAAGTTTAAAGGGTAAATTAAGTCATTTCTTTTTCAGTGTTTCATCATATGAAATAAAACGTAGTAAGCAAATATGAAAACAAAAGCTAAGAGTTAAAAATATAAAACGTAGTTTGTAGTCAGTAAGTCATGCTAATAGTTGGTAGACATGTAAGAGTTTCAGCATATACTCACACATACAATTATACTTTAGTCTTCATAATTCACTTAGCAGATCCAACTAGTTTCCTTGTGTTAACGAGTTGATACTGTAACTCAATATTTTAACTTGGTTTTCCAAAGTTTATATCAGTCCTCTATATAGTATTCTATCTTCCATATCCTCGCCCCTTAAGTCCTTTAAGGTGAATAAGCAGCATTTTTAGAAAAATTAAAATCAAGCATTCAAATTTCAAAATGTTTAATTGACACAATAGACATCTTTAAGAACCATAACAACAATTTACTCGATTTTTATCCGAATTATGAAATTAAATTGCTCTTCATTTTAGGGAAAGAGACACAAAAATAACATTTAAACTGGAAAATCCTAAAATGGTCGCTTGAATTTGTAAAATCCTGATTTAGACATAAGTGATGAATTTGTTATTTATAAATTTGTTGAAATGACCACATTGCCCTTTATTTTTTTTTAATTGTTCTTAAAAAACTCAGTGCCCCCTATTGGCTGGCCGGCCGCTGGAGCTCTGGTGATGGTGGCAGCTACCATCACTGGAGCTTCGGCGACCAACCAATAATTGGTCACTGAAGTTCCCGCGGCCAGTAATAATTTTTTTTGAAAATTTTTACAACTTTAATAAAATGGTTAACAAGTTTTGTAATGCTGTTAATAAGTTCAATATAGGGGTTAATAACAGGTTTTTCAAAAAATTCAAAAAGTAGTATTTTTATAATTTTAATAATGTCGTTAATGAGTTTCGTAACTCTATTAACAAGTTTGGTGTATCATTTAATAACAAGTTTTCTAAAAAAAAAATACAAAAAGCGGTATTTTTACAACTTTAGCAACTACTTTTTTTGAAAATTTTTACAATTTCAGTAAAACAACTAATAAGTTTTGTAACTCTATTAATAAGTTTAGTACAGCAATTAATAACATTTTTTCCATAAAAATAAAAAAGTAGCATCTTTACAACTTTAGTAATGCCGTTAATAAATTTCGTAACTCTACTAACAAGTTCGATATAACATTTAACAATAGGTTTTTTGAAAAATTTAAAAAGTGACATTTTTATAATTTTAGTAACACGGTTAACAAGTCATATAATAATATTAACAACTCTCATAAAGATTGATGCTTTTAATATTAGCTCCCTATGAAAGTTGTACAGTAAAATTTTTTCACTTATTAGACAGTCATTATGGTCATGAGAGTTGATTCAGGAAAACATCGTAATGATTGGAAGTTGATTCGCCGGAGGACGATCCAGAAGAAGATGATGGCTCTTGATTTGGAGTGATCATAACTAAGGGATAAAGGTATTGGATTTGGAAGAATTTGATCCGCTCAAAACACATAGCCCACATGACTTTTTCTGCCCCCGAGTTCTGAGCGGAACACGAAACCAAAATTTCATGGAAGGTGCCCTTCGCCTTCGCTATGAGTTTCTCTGCTCCTTCGCAATTCACACAGCGACTCTGACTCTCAGCACACGTCTGGTACCCGGGATGGGTTAATGTTACGTCCCACGTGTATGTAAGCCGCATGCAAGAGTTTTTGTTGAGCAGCTGAGTTACCTATTTGTCTTTTTTTTAAATATTTTTGTTAATCAAATATGTTGATTAGAATTATTATTATAAAAATTATTTTTAAAAATTTAGATAAATAAGAAAAAAACAGATTAAAATTTTATATTTAAAATTAAAATAGAAATCAAATATACGCAGTAATATTCTTTCGGCGAAAGGCGGTGCAAATGAGGAGATAAGGAGAAGAAAGAATAAAACTTCAACTAAAATACATGTACAGATTCTCACATGATCAACCAAATCAAAGTTTGAATTTCTTTTTTCTATCTACAGGGATCCTTTAATAGGCAATCCTAAGGTATGTTAGGATTAAATGTGTGACAAATCAAAATTTAAATTTAAATTTTTATTCGGAGGAGCACTTGCTTTCAACAGAATGGCATCGTCTATTTTGAAATAAACTTGCGGGGTCTGTTCTATTATTGGGCTTCAAAGTATTGGGCTTAGTAGTTGAATTCTGATCTGTGTTTACATGGCCCCAAATCGACACCAAGTTTTTCTTTAAATGTGATTTTTTTTTTCAATGGGCAAACATTTTGTTAGATTTTTGTATTATTAGGTAAGTATATGATATTACAATGAGTCAATTGATAGCCAAGTGTTAGTTAATTGAAAAGAGATTTTTAATTACGATGTGATGGTCAGTTTTTTTTTTAATCGTAATACTTTATTTTGTATGTGTGTGCATTAAATTTGTAATATGTTTATGAGGATAATAATGGTATGTCTTATGTTTCATTTCTTAATGGCACTCTTTTATATTACTTCTTCAAATACTTTGTACCTTAAATGCTGCCATCAAAATCATCGGTGTATATAGATTATACGCATGATAAAGCAATGAGTAGAAATTTTTTCTACTTACCTGTACCAAAAGCAACTGGGCAATAAACATTATGTTTTTCTTTGTAATTAAGGAGTACTGTTTATCCTAAGTTATTTATTAAAGCAATATAGCGGCTCAATTGTCATCATTTGATTAGGACATGCGTTGACCATTAAATCCATGTTGACTTTAGGTGGAAGAGCGTTTTACACCTACAATATTTATAGAGAAGCAATTATTATCTTAAGGTGGAATAATATGGAGCAAAAAATACTTCATGTTTTTTGGCTAAAACATGTTGTGTCATGCTCTCTATTTCACATTGTCATATCTGATCCATTTTTAAAAGAATCGGGTATTACAAGATTTTAAGAATATAGTACATGATTGATTGATAGTTGATTTCTTCCCATGGACGAACTAATATATTTGATTAAATTTGTAATTAGGCAATAGTTACATTTAATTTTAAGATATTATTCAAATCTAAAATTAATTATTAATTTTTTTATTTGAGCCTCCAATTAAAATCCCATTTAATTATAATACTTCCCATTTAATTCAATATATTTAAATCTCAATCAAGATATTATTTAAATCTCATTAATGGAGTATATTCAAATTGCATATTATCATACCCTACCCATTTTTAAACAAATTGAATATTTAAATCTCAATCAAGATATTATTCAAATCTCCTTAATGAAATATATTCAAATTGCACATTGTTATACCCGATTTATTTTTAAAAGAATCGGATATTACAAGATTTTAATAATATAGTTGATTGATTGATAATTATTGATGTCTTCTTTTGTCCTTTTTTCCCTTGTTTATCAAGCTACCCAATAATAAAATCTTTTGGTATTTTTTTTATGGGAAAATTAAACCCTAAGTCCTTGTAGTTATAATGAGTTTTGAATTAGGTCCTTACACTATTTTTTCTTTGTAAGCGCTCCTTATAATTTCAACCATCAGTCACATTGATCCTTCTGCCTTCAAAAACGTCAAAAGGACGTAACGACGTTAACTGCTAAAGCGAGTGATGGTTCATTGATCAGTTGTCTCGCTAAAGAGCATCTTGTTGTCTCTCTCACCAAATACGTTGTTGATCTCTCTCACCTGTTCATTTGAAATAGAGGCTATTTCACTCCCGTCTTATCCATTGATGACATAGGATGTTGAAAAATCAATATATTGTAGTTTTCTGTAGTCCCTGCATACACGTACCCAAATATTAATAAGATCAAGCCACAACTATTTGCCATTGCAGACTTTTGTATGAAAATACAGGTTTCTTTTTCATTCTTTTGGGATAAAGCAAAATAGGAGAAATCCATCTTTGGTAAATTAATAGACCAAAACAAAAATAAAAGTTTCAATTTTCTAATTGAAACCATGGCCAAGTTATTACCTAATCAATGAAACTTGCATACCAACCATCAGAAAGAGAAAAGTTTTTTTTTCCCATTCTAACTCTACCGTATTGATATGAACGGTTTATAAACAAAATAAAAATGAAAAATGAAGGAGACAGATAAACGTTAATCGAAATCTTCAACCCATATGCAGTACAAAAATTCTGATCTTAAACTTAACAGCATCGTCAAGGTGCTGCTCTCTCTGCAGACTACATGAATCTCACAACATTCAACTATAGTAATATCAAGCCATGACTCTGTGTGTCCCTATTTTTGGGGCCAAAAACAGAGCAAATAAAACAATATTGTGGCAGTCTTTTTCAATATATTATGAAAAGTAGAGGTAAAAATATTAATTTTTTACTTTACTATATTCATTGTGAATATTGGTTTTTGCATTTTTGATTGCCTTGCAATGTTAAAATCTTTTCCACCTCACAAAAGCAATCAGAGTCATCCTCTTGTTCATCCCCATTGATTTGGGTACAAAGCACCTACTTGCCCATGATGCCCCATATCCAAAACACATAGGACCAAATTTTTGGAATTTAGTGTGTCGATCATGTCTCATACACATATGCTACTCCTTCTGCTAGCATGCATGCATGATGAGATAGACTTGAGATCATTGAAGGAGTTGCAGGGCATGAGGAGAGTGAAGTAGCCTCTATCTCAAATGAACTTGTAGGAGAGATTGGCGATGTATTTGGTGAGAGAGACTAGGAGAAGCTCTTTAGTGAAGACCTCGATGTTCTTGTTTGTGGAGTATACATCTCATTTTCCAGTTAATGGACGGTCCCCTACTTTAGCAACTTAACGTCGTTATGTCTTTCTGATATTTTTGAAGACGGAAGGATCAACCTGGCTAACGGCTGAAATTAGAAGGAGTGCTTAAAAAGAAAAAAAATAGTGTAAGGACCTAATTCAAAACTCACTATAATTATAAGGACCTAGGGTTTAATTTTCCCTTTTTTAATTGATAACCTCAACATCAGTAAGCTCTCAAATGTTTTAGTCCTTATACTTTGGACTAATGTTTTTAATGGAAATTATAAATTATAAAATATTTGCTGCTCAAACGAGACTGTTTAAGTAAGTCCAAACGAATAAGGCTAACAAAGATGTAAATCCAAAAGAATAAAATACATGACAAAATAAAACTTTTAAATATATCAAATTAATAGAAAATTTTCTCAAATATCAAATATAAAATTATATACCCAATCACGCGATTCACAAATATTAACAGTAATATGTATTTTTCACATTCCACACAAGATATAAGAAAATCTGTCTGGCTAACTAAAAAGCTAACTGATTCTGTAGTTATATAATTGAATTTCCAAAGTAGTCCAACTTTCTAATATCAATAGATCGTCTGCTTAAAAGCATGCCTTCTACACGATTTCCTGAAAACATATTGTCACATAACTTGATTTAGAAGGACATTGTGGCCCTTTTTAAAAAAAAAAAAAAAAAAAAGACGTCGAAGGATAATTGTTCCTTTAACCGATACGGTGACAGTCACATTAATTATCAAATAGCAATTGGATAAGTATTCCTATAAAACAAACAAAAAATCCTAAATACCCAGGAAAATAGAATATTGAAAATCTCATCTGCAGAATGTAATTAATTAGGAAATAATACAGCAAACATACGTACCCATCTCCAAAAAGCCACGCTGATGATAAGCTAGCAGCCTCAAACAAAGCAGACGTCCATTTCCTTACTTTCTCTAAGTCATCTCTGAACCTATCTTCTAGAGCAGCCATGACTTCCTCAAAGCTATTTCTCTGATACTGAACATCCAACGGATCCACCTTGTAAAAGATGGGCATAACCAGCTGGTTCTTCTGCTTCTTACACCAAACGATATGGGCTAGTTCCTCTAGGCACCATGTGGAGGTAGCATAGTTCTTAGAGAACACAATAATGGGAATTCTAGATCTCCCAATGGCTCTAGGAAGCGTAGGTGAGATCTCTTCCCCTTTCCCAAGCTTCCTGTCATCAATGAAGGCATTGATTCTCTTACGTCGCAAAGCATTGTAGAGAGGCACAGTGAAGGAGTGGCGAGTATCTTCTCCTCTGAAACTCAGAAAAACATCGTACCTGTACTTGATTTTGCTGGTGAAGGCAAAGGATGATACTGGTGTCACTGCTTGAAGCGCCATGACTGTGATAATGGCAATGCTAAAGCTAAGGTTTTGAGAAATTTGTTCAGTGTTTGATTCATCATCTAACCGTGGAAGATGGTACGAAGCTGTCGGGTTGGAACGTGCAGATCCATTAATTTCATTTGCATGGTCTCACAAGTCAATGGTGATGATCTGCATCCAAGATGATGCCGCGTTTTTGTTTGACTTTCATCTTAAAGCAATTTTTTGTGATGAGTCCCGAGTCACGAGCTCATTCAATGGATGAACCATGGTTGGATAATAGACAATTGGTCATAGTTAAATTAACATATTGTAAATAATTATGGGATGTTTGGTGGTTCCCCTTCTGTTACTCCTCAATTTTTTCCTACCTTCCAAATGTTGATGTGTTTTCTTTTTATTGTTAAATTCTACATAAAATAAATAATGTTTTGATATTTTATAGGTGAAAAATGGTGAAGATTTCAATTTTTTTATAATTTTTTAAAGAAATAATAATATAAAATTTGTGTAATTTCTTTTAATTTAAATACAAACTCTTAAAAAAATCATTAAAAAATTTGAAACTGTATCATTTTTTGTCTATAACATATCAAAATATCACTTATTTTATGTAAAATCTTATAATAAAAGAAGGAAAAACGAATACCGAAGTCCTTGTAGTTTCCTCACAATTTGAATCAAGTCCTTAAAGTTTTTTCTTTATTTTTTAATTAAATCCTTATAGTTTAATCTGTTTGACGCACCCATCCTTCCGTTACACGTTAATGGGAGAAGTCTGACGGCCAAGTGGATTAATACGTGGCAACATGGGCTTTTGACTTTCAGAACTAAACAATCAAGCTTCTTCTCCCCTGGGAAAAAAGATGAAAATTTAAGCTAAATAACCAAGATGCGAGCTAAATAAAAGTCGAGTCGTTCCATAAGTTGAAAATATTCTTCCAGACATGCGAGCTGTTAGTTTTCCTTAGATATTTTTGGCCTGTTATATTCTTTTCAAATCATTGCTTCTCCTGCCCTCTCTGCTTGCATGCTAAGAAAATACCCAAAGCTCATAACAACGGTCAAATAATTCTATGTGCAATATTTTCCGCAAAAACAGAATAAGAAAAGAATGAAAATTTAAACAATTTTGCACTATGGGTCTACCTTGGGCCTTTGCTGTAACGAGAAAATAAAGGGGAAACATAAAATTTCCATTCTTTGTGGTTTGCACTCATTGCTTTTTTTTTTGGGGGGGGGGGGGCTCTTTTCAGCATCCAAAGTTTACCATTTTTCCTTGAAAAACAGAGCACCACATTATTCTTTGTGTTTTAAGCCAGGAATTTATACTTGTACTGGCAAGCAATTTTTGTTGGAATTTATGGCAGGACGTTGATGTGGGAAAATGGTTTCTACCACGGAAGATTGTATGGAAGATATGAACAGAAAGGAACACTGTGAATCCATGTAAACAGAGCCACACATGCTGCAAACTTCAAGCAACACCAATGCGAGAAAGTGAGAGCACGTTTGAATTTGAAGACTTGAAGGGCCACCCTACACGATAGCGTTGCTCAGCGACCTTCTCTTCCTCCTTGCCCCATATATGCTGGACTCGAATACTCTGCCTTGACCCAACGCCATAGTTAGACATTGCTGCTGGCCGGGCCCTTTGTTTTTTTTACCCCTCACCTATCAGGGGAAGGTCCAATCACAGCCTAGTTGGACTTATTTAACCACTAGTATGCTAGTTGTCTGCCACCTCACTTAAAGTGTTATGATCTCTGTTGGTTTTTCATTAACAGTAGTAACCTTTACCAGCTTGGATGAGAGAAAATTAGGAAGAAAAGGAAACTAGAGAGGAAAAAAAATACAAGGAGAAATGATTTTTTTTTCCTTGCTGCTTAGACTAGAGAGAAAATGTGGGAATAAAAAAAAGTAGGAAAGAGAATAAGGTAAGTTTCATGTATCATTTTTTTTCTCTATAAATTAAGAGATTTGTTTTTTTAGGGGAGGGGGAATTTTCTTGACTGTCCTCTTCTTACACTTTTTTCAGTTTCTACTCTCGATATTTATTTTTTTATTATATTTAAAAACTTATTCACTTTTTTATTTTTTATCTTAAAAAATATTTTTATTAAATAATTTGGTTTTAAAATATAATAATATGAAAATATCTAAATTGAATACCTTAATTTTAAATTATTTGATGATGCTAATGTTAGTATAATTTTCTTACAGGAATATTTAATTTGATTTAATTTTAGATATGATATATTTTGAAAATAATATTTTAGTCATTTAGATATTTATTTATTTTCTTGTCCTTTTATTTTTATTTTTGTCTATCCAAGTAACAAGAATGATAATATTTTCTCTTCAGTTTTTTTTTTAATTTTTTCTTCTCTTCTCTTTTCTTTCCTCCTAACTTTTCTTCCTATCTTAGTAGAGCAAGATGGATACCTCTAACAATTTAAAGTATAAAGAGTTAATAAAAAGAGAAAAAAAAAAGTTCAAGGACTTAATTCAAAATCTAAAGAAAATATTAATTTTCCCTAAAAATAAATAAGAAAAAATCATTTTGAAGGTAAAGAAAAAAAAAATAGCAGAGGGGCCACCTGACACAAAGTAGCTCACATGAGAGGTAAGAAAAAAGAAGGGAAAATGACAGCAAAAAATCATGTGAATTTCAAAAAGACAAATAAGGCACCTAAATAAGCAAAATGACAAATAGGGCACTGGGTACCAATTTAGAATTTAGATTTTTGGCTTAATGACCGAATTGCCCTGATGAGTGAGGTAAAAAGGAGCTGAGAGTGAGAAGAAAGCAAACAGAGGAAGACGTTAATGAAACACAGGAAGAAGGAAAGAAGAATGTTGGAAATGCTATTATCTTACTCCTTCGAATCACTATTCTGTAGACATTATTGATCTAGTGGGTTTTGGTTGTGGGAAAGAGGATTTGTAATAAGAGAGGGAGTGAACCTGTAGGACTATGTGAGTGAGTAGAAGTTGATGGCGGGATTTGGATTATTTATTTTTGTGGCTGCTTCATGGTAAAATAGGAACAAGATTATTGCATTTGAGGGTTTATACTCAGTATTTGGTGAATGATGAAGCAGAAATCAGAAAATAGTGGCAAGCAATTACATAATGTAACTGCTGTCATATGCTTTCTGGTTTTTGGTAAATCTCATTATGTGAATGGTAGATTTTATTATACATGTAGTTAATTATGAAAGTTAATAGTTCAATATTTATTGTGATATACTTCAGGTGCATGTTCACTAAATGATTTATTTATGCTTATAAGTTGCCCTTCCGGTGAAAACAGGTTTACAAAACCCATAGAATAAGTGGTCACTTTCACTATAAAAGTTGTAAATCTCATTATGTCTTTTGTAAAATTCAACATGAAATTTTATTGGTGGTGAAAAGTAAGTTACTCATCCCCCAAAAATGTGTTGCAAAACCTATTAACAAAACGGTCACTTTTACTACAAAAGTTGTAAATCCCAGTATATGTTTTGTAAAATTCAACGTGAAATTTTATTGGTTTTTAGAAACAAGTTGCTCATTCCCTGAAAACAGGTTACAAAAGTCATTTAAGAAATGGTTATTTTCACTATAAAAGTTGTAAATCTCATTGTGTATTTTGTAAAATTCAGCGTGAAATTTTATTGATTTTTAGAAACAAGTTGCTCATCCTCTGAAAAGAGGTTGCAAAACCCATTTAAGAAGTGGTCATTTTCACTACGAAAGTTGTAAATCCCACTATATGTTTTGTAAAATTCAGTATAGAATTTTATTGGTTTTTAGAAATAAGTTGCCCATCCCTTGAAAATATGTTGCAAAACCCATTGAAGAAGTGATCATTTTCACTACAAAAGTTGTAAATCCCACTATATGTTTTGTTAAATTTAACGTAAAATTTTATTAGTTTTTAGAAACAAGTTGCCTATCCCCTGAAAACAGATTGCAAAATCCATTGAATAAATGGTCATTTTCACTATGGAAGTTGTAAATCCCACTATATGTTTTATCAAATTTAGCATGGAATTTTATTAGTTTTTACAAACAAGTTGTTTATCTCCTGAAAATAAGTTGCAAAACCCATTAAAAAAGTGGTCACTTTCACTACGAAAGTTGTAAATCACAATATGTATTTTGTAAAATTCAGGACCAATGGTTTAATAATATTAGAAAACCCTATAGCTTCACATTCTCTGAAAACGGTTTTATGCGAAGAACAGAGACAGAACCAAAAAGAGGAATGCTAGACAATAACATTTTAAGCTGTGGGGACCCATCGAAAATGCTCTATGAAGAATAATATTTAAGCTTCCTACTTGTTTATCACAGTTGGTGTTACTTCAGCGACCTCTTCGACGGCGACAATCTTAGGGAGTACGAGTTATTTTAGACGGGACAATGTATTTCAACGATGGTAACCAAATTCAGCGACAATAATCTACTCCTGCAACGGCGGCAATGTGATTTCGAAGAACTCTTTTTGGTGACTACAGGAACTTGGATTTAGTTTCGTCGAAGGAAATCAGCTTTTCCCTTTCTCTATCGCACGAATACACTGCTCAGTGTTCAGAGACAATCAGGACATTTCAGTCTTTATACCAAAAATGCAAATTCCAGATCAGTACCTCATGCCCATTTGGTCATTTTACTTATTTAGGTGCCTTATTTGTCTTTTTGAAATTCACATGGTATTTTGTAGTCATTTTCCCAAAAAAGAACTGGCTAGTAAAAATATACGGCAAATTCCCGGACATTTTTCTTGCTGTTGATTAAATTATAACCGTAATATATTAATTAATGATCATCATATGCTAACTGACAAAACTGATACATAATTAAATAAAAAGAGTAATTTATTTTTTAGGTTTTTAACATTAATATTGTTATGCTGGCAAAAAAAAAATCAATATTTTTAATTATATTTAAATGTTTTTCATTTTACATATAATTAAAGATACATAGAATGTAGATAAAGAAAAGTTTTATATCTACTAAAATAAGTCATACTTACGTGTGCTTTTGGAATAAATTTGTAATGAAAGATTTTGTTGGCAATTTCCCCAAGTTATAACAAATAATTTATTATTTAAATTTCAAATATAAAAAGACAATAAAAATTTGAGAGAATTACAATGAGATCCCAAATAAAAAAACTAATTAAAAAATAAGTCCCAGAAATTATATTTTTACTGTAGAACTTGTTGTTGTTGGCTGCCTAAGTTGTTATTTTTATGACTTTTTAATAATTATTTTTTAAAATAAAAATTCATTGTAATTCTCTCCAAAAATTTAGATGACCAGTAGCGGGGCAGCTCACGTACTAAGATACCTTCATGACCACAAGATACGTATGACCATAAGACGCTCTTCATAAAATATCTCTGACGCATTTAAACACTTTGCTTTGGAGAAATTTCTCCCCGGCGGGTCAAACGCGTGCTCTGTTTTAAGCCGATCCACCACTTTCCTATAAACTTCTCCGGCCGGTGATCAAATGTAGCGACTATTATAGCCATGGCAACTCAAATCGTAGCACCGTCATTGTTTGGCTTCTCCCGTGAAAGCAAGTATAGATATGATGTTTTCCTGAGTTTCAGAGGTGAAGATACTCGCCGCTCCTTCACCGTCTTCCTCTATGAAGCTTTGCGTCGGAAAGGAATCAACGCCTTCATCGACGACAAGAAGCTTGGGAAAGGGGAAGAGATCTCACCTACGCTTCTTAAAGCCATTGAGAGATCCAGGATTTCCATTATTGTGTTCTCTAGGAACTATGCTACTTCCACATGGTGTCTAGAGGAACTCGCCCACATCATTTGGTGTAAGAAGCAGAAGAACCAGTTGGTTATGCCCGTGTTTTACAAGGTAGATCCGTTGGATGTTCAATATCAGAGAAACAGCTTCGGAGATGCCATGGCTACTCTTGAAGATAGATTCAGAGATGACTTGGAGAAAGTGCGAAAATGGAGATCTGCTTTGTCCGAAGCTGCTAGTTTGTCATCAGCATGGCTTTTCGATCATGGGTAGGCTTCCTTATACTATTTTCTAATTGCCTTCTGCATATGAAATTTTCAAACTCTTGCTTAATAATTAATGGTTGCCGATAAGATGAGACGCTGTTGAAGATGTATGAACTTTTGATCGGCGACTATTACTATTGGATTTCTGTAAACTTGGGGTCTTGAAGATTTTTAGTTTTAATAATTTTAAAATTTAAGATTCGGTGAAATAATGCCAAAGACTAACATAATTATATATCCTTCTGCATCAAAAGTGAGCATGTGACATTTTTGAGAAATTGAGTAGAAGATATCTTATCACGCATCAAGCAGACAATTTATTGAAATTTATGTTTGTCTAATATTTTATTATTTTCCTTGGATGTTCTTTTTATCCTGGATTCTTTTGAGTTTTACTTAAATCTTACCATCTTAGCCGTAAAACTTTAGCATAGAGAAAGGAGGAAAAAGTTGAGAGCTCACTGATATCGAGTCGAGTCTATCTTTAAAGAATCAAAATATTTTATTGAAAAATATGTGATAAACGACCAAAATACATATAAAAGAAGATATTTAGTAAATCATCTCATGAAGCTAAAACCAGAATTTGTGCTTCTTTAGAGACGAAGACAAGTTTATTGAAAGGATTGTCGAAGATGCATTTGCTAATGCCTCCTAAACGCTTTCATAACACTGATCATATGGTTGGACTTGAGCCCCGCATAAAAGAGGTGATGTCAATTCTAAATAAATCTGATGATCGTGTTTGTATGGTGGGGGTCCATGGAATTGGTGGAATTGGCAAAACAACTCTTGCAAAAGCTATTTATAATTCAATCTTCTACGAATTTGAAGGTCATTGTTTTTTGTTTGATGTAAAAGAAGCATCAAAGAAATACAAGGGCATTGTCCGCCTTCAACAGACACTTCTATCAGAAATTCTTGAAGAGAAGGGGATGAAATTTGGCAGTGTTGATGAAGGAATATCAAAAATAAAACATAGACTCTCTCACAAAAAGGTTTTGTTGGTTCTTGATGATGTTGATGAGGTTGAACAGCCGGAACAACTAGCAGGGGGATGTGATTGGTTTGGTTGTGGAAGCAAGATCATTATTATTACAAGAAACAAACAATTGCTAATTGCATGTAATGTTAAAAAGGCATATGAAATGAAGAAGCTACATGAGCATTACTCTCTGGAGCTCTTTTGTTGGTACGCCTTTCATATGAGCCAACCTCCAAAAGGCTATAAAAATATGTCCATTCACGTTACAAGGTATGTACGTGGCCTTCCCTTGGCTTTGAAAGTAATAGGCTCCAATTTGGCACATAAAAGCATTGAGGAATGGAGATCTATATTGAAGCAATATGATGAGATTCCAGAAAGAACAATTCATCATGTCCTGAAGATAAGTTATGATTGTTTACAAGAGTGTGCTAAGGGTATTTTCTTAGATATTGCTTGCTTCTTCAAAGAGGAGAAATTGGAATTTGTTGAAGCAATATTAGAAGCTTGGGATCGTGGGGCAAGGTTTTATATTGAAGTTCTCGTTGATAAATCTCTGATAACTATTAATGATAAAGGTTATTTGTACATGCATGATTTAATACAACAAATGGGTAGAGAGATTGTTAGGCAAGAAGCACTATCGGATCCTGGCAAACGCAGCAGATTATGGTATTACAAAGATGTTCTCAAAGTACTACATGAAAATTTAGTAAGATTCTACTTGTATCTGTGTTCTTTTACATGTACTATTAACAACAAATTAATTGTCTAATTGGGTCATATCTAACACTGCTATATTTGGACTTGAATACTAGGGAGGCAACAATATTGAAGGAATAATACTTGATCCACCTCACCAGGAAGAAGTGAAATGTAGTGATTCAGCCTTTGAGAAGATGAATAATCTTAGAATCATCATTGTTCGCAATACTCAATTTTTGACATGTCCTAAATATCTTCCGAATAGTTTAATATTACTAGATTGGCAGGGATATCCTTCTATGAATTTGCCACCAGATTTTTCGCCTCCAAAACTAGTTTGCCTCAAGATATACGGCAGTCCTTTCAGCTTGGAGGTATCGTTCGAGGTAGATTTTTCATCCTTTATCTTAAAAACACGATTCTTTGTCAAAGCCCCGTTTCCTACTTTTATGAAATCAGCACACTCAACTACCTCCTAATCAATAAGGATTCTCACTTCTAAGAATTACTCAATTATTTATTATCCTACACGGATTCAAGTTATATTAATTTTTCTTTTGCGAAGATCCTTTCCCTTTTATTTGTATTTGATCAAATATAAAGAAATAGATTTCATTCAAACATTTTTAATTTGATAGTATCTTGGTTATCAACATTTCATTTCATTCCAATCCTTTATAAGAACCAAACCTGCTGAATCTCTTATTAGTTACAGTTAATTAAGTAGTCTAGTATTTGTTTTGCAGAGATTTGAATATTTGACGTATTTGGACTTCTCAAAGTGTGAATTCATAATTGAAGTCCCTGACATGTCTCAGTTTCAAAATTTAAAAACATTGAGCTTTCGTGAATGTCGCAGTCTGATCGAAGTTCATGATTCTGTGGGATCTCTCTCCAAGCTAGTGAAATTAGACGTTCTTGAATGCATCAAACTCACAAGCTTTCCACATGAAATCAAGATGCCATCTCTTCAAGAGTTTAATATTAGTGATTGCAAGAGTCTTAAGTACTTCCCAGAAATCGTGGGAAACATGGATCCACTGATGTATATTAATGCAGAAGGCAGTGCTATTAATGAGCTCCCATCATCTATTGGAAATCTTCCAAGGCTTCGTTCTTTAAATTTAAGATCTTGCAGAAATCTTAGAGGGCTTCCAAACAGCTTATTGACATTGCATAATCTTGGAGTGCTTCTATTAGGAGACATAAAACCTCATGGAAGAAAATCTTTGAAGAAATTAATGCAAGAGAGCCAACCACCAACTATTAGCTGCACGAATTTAGATCGCTTGGAACTCCAAAATTGTGGTCTATTGGATGATCTTCACCTAATTCTGAAATGTTTTCGAAATGTGAGATACTTAAATCTATCAGGGAATGATTTTGTATACCTTCCCGAGTGCATTAAGGAGTGTGCTTATTTGGAGAGACTAGATCTGAGTGCCTGCAAGAGGCTAAGAGACATACCAGAGTTACCATTAACTCTGCAGAGCATAGCTGCAGATAAGTGCATGTCATTAACTTTGGAGTCGATACGTCATTTATGGTCTCAGGTTTCTTCTCATTCTTTTTATATAGATTTCCTTATTCACTTGCTATTTTATAGATTTCTCTTTCAAACGTGTATTCTCTCATTCAAATCAGTAAGTAAATGCCTTTGGTTGCTACTGTTTTGATGAATCAGGCAAAAGAGGGCTTTCGCGTGGAAATCGTTATGCCAGCAATATCATTTCCTGATTGGTTACACTTTTGTTGTAAAGGTGGCAAATTGTCTTTTCGTGTCCGTGGAAATTTCCCACATGTCCTCATCGCATACGAGACAGGGAAGGCAAACACAAGTGGGATATACACATTAGAAGTTTTTATGAGGATCAATGGCAGTAAAAAAATGCCATGGGTACAAAGTGATCGTGATGCAAGAGAAAAGGGTCGTTTTGTGCTTTCTGTAGGATATCAAGCTCATGTATTCTTCTATGATCTACTAAGTGATTTTAGTGAAGAAGAGTTGGAGGAGCTTAATAAGTTTTTGGGATTGGAATGGAATGATGCGGACATACAAGTTACGTCTGACTCACCAGCTGATATGTCCATAATTAACTGTGGTATTTATGTCAATAAGCAACAGACAAGTATGGAAAATGTTCAATTCAAGTCTCCTTTGCGTTCCATGAATGCTTCAAGAGCTTCGCTGAAACGAAGAGCAGTAGCTTCTCATCCCAACGAACCACCCAAGAAGCACTTGAGAAGGTTCAAAGAGAAGATCAATTGCACAAGAAGGACAAGGTGAACCTGTACTTCCTCTTATTGTTAATTGTCGTCTCATGGTTTTTTATTACTATATCTGATCGTTATAAGAGATACTTAACTGATATGGGTAAAGTAAGGAAGTCAAATAAATGAGCTAATTATAACAAATATAATATGGTTTACTTAAAATAGTCCAGTACGTTAGATTATATATCAAAATTTGCAAGTTAGGTGAATTAATTTAAAAAAAAAAGAAAAGATAAATACGAAACATAAGATGAATGAGTTTTATATTTATGACAAAATCTAACCCCTAATTGGTTCTTATATTAAAAATCGGAGAAGTACTTTTAATTTTTTTCTACTTTGTGTATTGTAGGCAAGCTAAGCCACACCGAATTTTCCATTCGCAGTGCAAGAGAAGGATGTGTTTTCCTATGTCTAAGCATCTTTTGAGAGCTTTGTTTTTTTTTTGATACAGAGAGCTTTGTATTCTTAGGTATCAAATATTATAATTGGTAGTCAATTGTTAGTTAATTAGGATTTGTGTATAACGTGACGGTTAATTCTAACGTGACGATTAATTTTGTTTTTAATGCATTATCATAATAAATTGGTTGTATATGTAGTATGTTTACGATGTGAATTTTATGGTATTTCTTGAGTTGAAAAATAAGCCAGTGCACAGCATGTAAAACATTCTCTCTCCGTTTTTTTTAACCATCATCTAATTATAAAATTTGAAAAATAAATCATACATGTTATTTATGGTATGTGAATATTCTGATTTTTTTGTAACTTCTATTATACATAGTTTTATACATATATTAATAGATTTTCGGTATATTGATAATATTGACAACGATGAAGAGATAATGTTTTAAAAAGTTAAAAAAAGACAGGGTGATATTAATCTTAATATATGAGATTTAATGTTGTTAAAATATAATGCGTGTCTATATAAGATTTGAACCTTCCCAAGCAAATGTGGTCACAAAAAAGGCACAAGTAATGCAAACATCTACCAATTTATTATTTCCTTCAGCAATTCTTCTTCCACCAGAAAAGCATCACATTCTTCCAAATCCAAATTGAAATTATTCAGATTCCAACGATTTCTAAATTTTTTTGCCAACTCTAGCAATGTGTAAAGCACAATTAGAGGTTGGTCTAGCAGAAGAAGGTATTAGTTGTTCACAACTTGACAAATTAATATTAAAATATTTATTAGGAGAAGTGTTTATATCTAATGTCTCATAATATTTTGAACATAATTACTTTTAAGAGTAAAATATATTTACCACTCCTCTATTTTACTTAAATTACAGAAACCTCTCTTATATTTTGAAAATGTTTATAAACTTCTCTTCAAATTAAAATATATGTTACAGAAACCTCCCTTATGTTGTTAAGATTTAATTTCCATTTATTCAACCATTAGTTGATCGTTAAGTTTGACTTTTAAATTTTTATTTTGATCAAATTATCCATCTTTAACATAAATGTTATTTAAACAGTTATATCTATAAAAAAATAATTTGTGATACAACAAAAAATAATTATAATACATGTATTTTCAAAATTTTTAATGTTATAAAATTTTTAATTTCAATTATATTATAGAATTATACAATTTTAGTTTCTCATGAAATATTGAAACTTAAGATTTTTTTTAAAAAAATGGCCAGAAAATATTTTGAATGCTTATTTTCTTATCAAATAATATAAATTATGCGAGTTTGGAAACTTATATAAATCATTTAAATTTATATTTGCATTAACTAAATTACTTAATTTTTTGGCCCAATACGATAAAAACATTAAACAAACAACAATTTTTTAAAATAAAAAAAATTAAGGTAAAGGAGAAAATCTTAAATTCTTCAATATAATTTTAACCAAGATTTTGAGATTTAGTATTATGAAAGGTAATTTAGTAAATAGAAAGTATTTCAATATAAATTTGTATTAAAAAATCTTTTTGAAATATGGTTAACGGAGTTAACAGTTTGGATTTAAGTATATATTTTCAAAATGAAAGAGAGGTCTGTGTAATTAAGACAAAATGCAAGAGAGGTTATAGTATTTTACTCTACCTTTAATAAGAGGATACATGTGCCTAACAAAAAAAAAAAAAGAAGCAAGTGGTAGCCACGCTTTTGTAAAGCTCCTTACTATTTTGTTCCCTTTTTTTATAATAGTAATTAATTACATAGAATGGCTTCATTTAGTAAAAAATGTTGATAAAGCCAAAAAAAAAAAAAACAGCCTTATTAGGTGGAAAAACAATTGATTACTTGGGGTTCTCAATTGAATCCTATGGTGCAGCCAAGAGGGAGAAAAACTGAAAATATCAATATGTGGTGTTGATTGAATGGTTGGGGGAAAAAGTTTATATTTTTAATCTCTTAATTGTATATAATATTTTAATTTAATTCTTTAATCTTAAAAAGTATATTTATAGTTATTTAACGTGAAAATCATTAACAAAAATAAAATATTATCAAATACTAACATATTAAATTTAATTTTCAAAACAATAATTATTGTTACCAAAAAAAAACATTTGAACCTAATAATTTTAGGGTTTAAAAATTAAAAAAGCACTTTTTAAAATTAATAAATCAAATTGAAATCTAGTTCTCCTCGGATCCTTAATATAGGAACTAATTAGAGAGTTGATATTAGTTCTATATGTAAGACCTATTTCATTTGTTTATCAATTTGTTTATCAATTTTTTTCCAAACTAACCCTATTGATGTCCCCCCAACAATAATCAAGTAGGAGAGAGAAGAAAGAATTAAGAAAAATGTTTAGAATGTTTTAGAAAAAATATATCATATTAGCTAATTTAACTAACATCTTTAATATACCCAAATTAATTAATTAAATCTTATATTAAAAATATGAGGAGCATAAAGGACTAAATATATATATGTTTGCCTATAAAAATTATGAGAGCTTTCCTGTTTTGTGGGCTTTGTGTAGATTACAAGTAACTAATGTTATACAACTGACACAACTAACTAAAGTGAGTTGGCTCTAACAAAATAGACTAGTTTCTTATAACATGGTAAATTAAGGTTTGAATTCCTGCTCGAAGATAATGATAATGATACTAACGTATCCATATTTAGTGCCTAACAGTATCTTGAATATAATTACTTCTAATAGAAGAATACCTAAGGCTGAGGGGAAAAGAAACTGTCACAACTTACAAGGTCTGCTCTTCCTTCCTCATCATTTTTTTCCGACTTTATCATATTTCTTTTCTAATGATTAGAACAATATTTCATCAATTAAGATATTCATTTTCTGATGCTGGAATTTTTTTTTTTTAAAATTAAACTACTTCCTCTATGTTGGCCCCAAAAAAACAATTAAACTACTTCATCTAAAGTTTAATAAAAGATAACGATGCCTTGCGTGCAAGTCATCTTATGCCGACATCTGGAGCTCACTGCTTTTGTGGCGGCTTCTTCTACCTTAAGAAGGTGGCACTAATGAACATTCAACAGGAGAAATTAAGCTTGAAATTTTGAATGAAGGGGGTTTGGTGAATAACAGAGGGAAGGGGCTGGAATTGCTGAAATGAAGATGATGGGAGGAAAGGAGCTCGTCCGTGAAGAGAGAACATGAAAGAGGCAGCGAATTACAAAACCTAGGAATTTTTTAATTATTTTTTAAATAATTAAAATGGAAACATGTTTTGTCAGTTGTACAATCATTATTACCATTCGATGAGTCAGCATTTTTCGTTAGATAAAACTAACCGTTTTAAAATTAAAGGACTCAAAATATATTTTATAAACTTAAAAAGCTAAAATAAAACTTGATACAAATATAAAAAAACCAAATATATATTTTAACCTCATAATTTTTTCTCAAATTCTTCTCATTTATTGTAAATGATTAAAGAGGAGCTTCATTAATTGTTTTTTATATATTCAATATTAGAGTGAGTATAAAAATAAATAATCAAATTCAAACAACTAAAATTTAGTATGAATAATTTAAAACTGCAAAAGTAAAATGATAATATTTTATAAACGATTAAATTTTAACCATTAAAATGTGATCGGATGGTTCAGGCGGAAAAAAATAAAAAAAGATGGGATGGTTGAAAAGGAAAGATGGGGTCTGGATCCTCTTAGCGGCCTCCGCGTCCCTCAGCGTCTCAATGTGATGCATCCAGATTGATCTAAGAGCTCATAATATATCACATCATCATGCTATTAAAAATTAAAAATAAATTTGACTAATTCTTTGGGAGTGGAACACTTAAATTTTTGGACCTCCTCCTCTCATTCTATTTATAAGATAGGGAGAGAAGATTTTTTTTATTTTTATTTATAAGTTAATTCATTAAATTTTTATCATGAACGTACCATATTATCCTTAATTTATTATAGTATATATAGTTTTTTTTAAAAGGTGTATATATTAAATAGAAATAAAGTAAAAAAGTTGCTATATTTTAACAAAGAGTTAATCCAGTTTAAGGTTTTTCTTGGTTTGTGTAAAATATGTTAAAAGTACTTTATAAATAGAACCAGAAATACTTATTTTAACTGTAAAATTTATTGGGGTCTCTCATAAATTCTCTAGTTGAAATAAACTAGGTGCAAAAATTGGATATTCCATAATAAAAAAATCTTTTAAAAAAAATCAAAGCTGGTAAAAAATTTTACAACATAAATAAAACTTATTTTTAATTTTTAATAGCACAATAATATGTCACATCATGCACTCTTAGATGAATCTCAACGGCCATAATTTGGACGCTGAGGGACGCTGGGAGTATCCTCTTCCGGAAAGATGAGGGAAAGAGACGACCCGGGGGGGGAGGGAATCGTCTCTGAGGGTGAGGGGCTTGGGGCGTGCTACCCAAAGCAGCAGGAGGAAGGTAATACTGAGGGGTAACATTGTTCGAAAACGAAATTGGCGGACCAGTTTCTCACAAATTGCCTGCTATTCTCCTTCCTTCTCTTCGTCGGAGGATCAGACGGGGTGGAAATTTCTCTCTCGTTTTAGTATCCAAATGTCAATTTCTTGATTCGTTATTGCGATTATCTCAGCCATGGCGATTCAACCGGCAGCATCATCATCCCATACCTTTACCAAGTACAGATACGACGTTTTCTTGAGTTTCAGAGGCGAAGACACTCGCCACTCTTTCACTGTCATTCTCTACGATGCCTTGCTTAGGAAGGGAATCAACGCCTTCATTGATGACAGAAAGCTTGGGAAAGGGGAAGAGATCTCGCCTACGCTTCTTAAAGCCATTGAGAGATCAAGGATTTCCATTATTGTGCTCTCTAGAAACTATGCTACTTCCACTTGTTGCCTAGAGGAACTCGCCCACATCATTTGGTGTAAGAAGCAGAAGAATCAGGTGGTCATGCCCATCTTTTACAAGGTCGATCCGTTGGATGTTCAGTATCAGAGAAATAACTTTGAGGAAGCCATGGCCACCCTTGAAGATAGGTTCAGAGATGATTTAGAGAAAGTGTGGAAATGGAGGTCTGCCTTGTTTGAAGCTGCTAGTTGTCATCAGCATGGCTTTTCCAAGATGGGTATGCTTCCTTATAATAGTTTTTGTTATTATCTTCTAGTGATGACGTTTTCAATTAATTAGTGGTTGCTGATGATTCAACTCGCTGTTCATGCTGAATCTCTATAAATTTGAGTCTTACTCGTATCATTTTGGAGGAGGATACTCTCAGCGGCCCTCTCTCTCAGCGTCCCTCAGCGTCCAAATTATGGCCGTTGAGATTCATCTGAGAGTACATGATGTGACATATTATTGTGCTATTAAAAATTAAAAATAAGTTTTATTTATGTTGTAAAATTTTTTTACCAGCTTTGATTTTTTTTAAAGATTTTTTATTATGGAATATCCAATTTTTGTACCTAGTTTATTTCAACTAGAGAATTTATGAGAGACCCCAATAAATTTTACAGTTAAAATAAGTACTTCTGGTTCTATTTATAAAGTACTTTTAACATATTTTACACAAATCAAGAAAAACCTTAAACTGTATTAATTCTTTATTAAAATATAACAATTTTTTCACTTTATCTTTATTTAATATATACACCTTTTAAAAAAACTATATACACTATAATAAATTAAGGATAATATGGTACGTTCATGATAAAAATTTAATGAATTGACTTATAAATAGAAATAAAAAAAATCTCTCTCTGTCTTGTAAATAGAACGAGAGGAGTAGGTCCAAAAATAAAGGTATTCCACTCCCAAAGAATTAGTCAAATTTATTTTTAATTTTTAATAGCATGATGATGTAGTATATTATGAGCTCTTAGATCAATCTGGACGCATCATATTGAGACGCTGAGGGACGCTAAGAGGGAGGCCGCTGAGAGGATCTGGACCCTATGATTTTTTGAGGATATATAGTCTTGGAGTATTGTTGGAAAAATAAAATTATAAAATAGATAGTTTTTATCATAAATATTTCAATTTAATTTAAATTTTTATTATTTTTTACTATTGAATCAGAAAATAATATTTTACTTAGTGATTACTAATTTATCTATATTGTTATCGTCATTGGATCTTATCTATCCGGATCCAACTTGACATTGCTCTTCAGAATTCGTTAGAAGATGTTAAACAGAGTATCTATTGTTACTGCGGGGTATAGTCTACTTTTGCATACAAAACTATTTTGGACATATATGAGTATTGAATCCATTAGCTTCTTTTTTTTTTTTAAAAAAAAATAATTAGCCTTTTGAATAAGCTATAAACAATATCTTGTGCATTAAATGGAGTTTGAAAAATGAGTTACGTTTTTTATGACTTGTTCTAGTTTTATTAATTTGGATCTGCTTCTTTTGAATTTACTCAAATGGTTCCATTTGTGTAGCTAATATTTGTGAGTTTATATTTTTTTAAAAGGACCCTGTGCATAGCGAAGGGATAAAAGAACAAAACTTAGAGCTAATTGATATTCAGGTTGTAACCTTTGAAGCATTAGTTGAGATTTTACTTAAAAGAATTATCATAATAACAAACAATAAAAGAAGAAGAAGAAGACGTTTTGCATCAATTTTCTTCATAACGAAATGAGAATCTGCCTTTTGGCAGATACGAAATTGGGTTTATTGAAAGGATTGTTGAATATGTGTATGCTATGCTTCCGCCTAAACCATACCATAACATAGAACACATGGTTGGACTTCAGCCTCGGGTAGAAAAAGTGATCTCGCTTCTAAATAAATCTGACAAAGGTGATTGCATGTTGGGCATTCATGGAATTGGCGGAATTGGCAAAACAACCCTTGCAAAAGCTATCTATAATTCGATCCTCTACAAATTTGAAGGTGCGTGTTTCTTGTTTGATGTCAATGAGGCATCAAAAAAATTCCAGGGCATTGTTCATCTTCAACAAAAACTTCTATCTGATATTCTAGAGGAAAAGATTACGAGGTTTGGTAGCGCTGACGAAGGAATATCTAAAATAAAACACAGACTCTCCCGTAAAAGAGTTTTGTTGGTTCTTGATGATGTGGATGAGACTGAACAGTTAGAACGACTTGCAGGGGGGTGTGATTGGTTTGGTTGTGGAAGCAAGGTCATTATAACAACAAGACATAAGCAATTGCTCATTGTTCATAATGTTAAAAGAACATATGAATTGACGGAGCTAGATGATCATGATTCTCTTGAACTCTTTTGTTGGCATGCCTTTCGTATGAGCCTACCCCCTAAAGGCTATGAAAAGATGTCTAGTCATGTGATCAGTTATGCAAAGGGCATTCCTCTTGCTTTAAAATTAGTTGGCGCCAATTTAGCAAATAAAAACTTAGAGGAATGGAGGTCTACATTGGAACAATATGATCGGGTTCCAGAAACAACATTACATGAAGTACTAAAGATAAGTTATGACTGCTTACAAGATGGTGCTAAGATTATTTTCTTGGACATTGCTTGTTTCTTTGAAGAGGAGATATTGGGTTCTATTGATGAGATAGTAGAAGCTTGCGATTATGGTGCAAGGTTTTATATTGAAGTGCTTATTGATAGATCTCTTTTAGCTATTAATGATGATGATCATTTGTACATGCATGATCTGATAAAACAAATGGGTAGAGAGATTGTTAGAAAGGAGGCACCATTGAATCCTGGCGAACGTAGTAGATTGTGGAATTATAAAGATGTTCTTAAAGTACTACATGAAAATTCTGTAAGAACTTGACTATTTTTTGTTTCCACATATACATTAAATTTATTTTGCTATTGGGCAATATCCAACAAAGTTTAATTCTTTGGCTTTGCATTATAGGGAAGTACTAAAATTGAAGGAATAATGTTTGATCCTCCTCAACATGAGGAAGTGGAGTGGAGTGGTATAGCCTTTGAGAAGATGAATAATCTTAGAATTCTCATTGTCCGAAAGGCCCAATTTTCAATTGGCCCTAGATATCTTCCCAATAGTTTGAGATGGCTTGAATGGCAGGGATATCCTTTTACAGAATTACCGCCAAATTTTTCTCCAAACAAGCTAGTTGTCTTCAAGTTATGTTTCAGTCCTTTCAGGTTGGAAGAGCCATTCAAGGTACTTTTTTTAACCTTTTATATATATATATATATATATATATATTTTGTTCAAATTTCCTTGGCTTTTGTTTTCTTCAAAGAATGAATAAGTTACTCCAATTGTCCTTCTATTTTTCTAAACTTATACAAATGATAGTGTTTGGTCATAAATCTCTTGTAATTAATGTTAACAATCTGTTTTTGTGTTGGCAGAGATTTGAATATTTGACATGTATGAATTTCTCACATTGTGAATTCATAACTGAAGTACCTAACATGTCTCAATTCCAAAGTTTAAGGAAACTGTTGTTTAGAGACTGTTACAACTTGATCAAAGTTCATGATTCAGTGGGATCTCTCTCCAAGCTGGTGGAATTAGATGTTGGGGGGTGCGTCAAACTTACAAGCTTTCCACATGAAATCAATATGCCATCTCTTCAGAGTATTGATATGAGTCACTGCAAGAGTCTTGACTACTTCTCACATGTGGGAAAAATGGATGCACTAACCGATGTTTGGGTTGAAGACACTTCTATCAAGGAGCTCCCACCTTCCATTGGAAATCTTGCCGGGCTTGAATCTTTAAATTTAAGCTCTTGCAGAAATCTTAAAGAGCTGCCTAACAGCTTATTCACGTTGCAAAATCTTAACTGGCTTAGTTTGGATGGCATTCAACCTGATAGCAGAAAATCTTTCAAGAAATTAATGCTAGAGAGCCAACCAGTGATTAGCTGCGCAAACGTAGAGTTCTTGATTCTCAAAAATTGTTGTCTGTTGGATGAAGATGTTCACCTAACTCTGAAGCTTTTCCAGAATTTGATAGAGTTAAATCTATCAGGGAATGATTTGTGTCCCTTCCTGAGTGCCTTAAAGATTGTGGTAGGTTATTGGAACTGGATGTGAATAACTGCAAGAGGCTAAGAGATATACCAGAATTACCCTCAAATTTGCGGAAAATAAAGGCAGAGAATTGCATTTCATTAACTACAGAGTCATTAGGCCATTTATGGTCTCAGGTTTTTCTCGTACTTTTTTCTGCTTTCTTTTTCTTCTTCTATGTTGATGATTATTCAAATTAAATACAATGGGTTGAAATTGGAAAAAATCATCGCTTGTCTTTTCGTTTCTAAATCAGACATTTTTCTTATGCTTGTAGATCTTTCTAGTTGAATTATTCTGCTCACATGTCACTAATTAAGTCATAGTCATATTGAACTGTTTTCCTGTGCAAGTTAACGCAATCCACAAAATTTCTCTTTATTCTCTTCACATGTCTTTTTCAAATCTGAAAAATGTCTTTTGCCTCTGCTGTTTTGGTAAACCAGGCAAAAAGGGAGTTCTTTGGCATGAGTATCATTTTGCCAGCAACAACATTTCCTGACTGGTTCCACAATGGGTCTGAAGGAGGGAAAATGTCTTTCCTTGCTCGTAGGAGTTTCCCTCACGTGGTCTTTGCGTTTGAGTTGGGGAAAGCCACCACTAGAAAGAGACAAGCCTTCCATTTTTCTCTGAGCATCAATGGTCGTTTAATACAAAGGAGATACGATGATATCACAATTCCACAAGGTCATGTGTCTTTATTTAATCTCGGAGTGGCTTTTGAGGGAGAAGACTGGAGGTGGCTTCAAAGATTCATGGAATTGGATTGGAATGATGTGGAGATAAAAGTCATTGGTTTAACGCCAGATATACCTGTGGTTAAGTGTGGAGTTTATGTGTGCAAACAGCAAACAAACATGGAGAATATCCAATTCAAGTCTCCTATGCTTTTCATGAATGCTTCAACAACTGCACTGAAACGAAGAGCCATAGCTTCTCCTAATGAACCACCCAAGAAAGTCCTGAGAAAGCTCAAGACTACTGATAAATGAAAGATCAATAACATAAAGAAAGGTTCAAGGTGTGCCTCTACTTGATACTAATTGCGGTTTCAAGATTTTTGCTTATTATTAATTTTTCCATGTTCTTGTGTTGTAGGAGAAATAAACGACACCAAATGTTTCATTCCCGCTGCAAGAGAAGGATGGTTTTTCCAATATGGCTAAGCATGTTTGGAGATTTTTGAGCTACTAGCAATTGAATGCTACAGTTGATAGTCCATTTTTAGATGAGATGACACCTCTGGCCTGTTACGGATTGTCTGGGAAACTGGCATGATCCCAGCTGCAAACTTAATGGCTTAATTTGCAAGAGATTGAAAACTACATATGTACAATAATCGTGCTATGAGAATTTTTTTCCCGTTTGTTACAATTGGTGTGAAGGAGGGAAATTCTTGTGGCCTTGGCATTTGAGTTGGGAAAAGCCAACATGAGTGATAGATACTCCTTTGAAATTTGTATCAGTACTATGGAGTTACGAGGGTGCTGTGATAGCACAAGGTCATGTGTGTTTATTCAGTAAAGTCTTCTGAGGAAGAAGAGCTCAAGTGAGATAAATAAAGGAGGCAAAATGAATTGGGGTCTCATATTTAAAATCAAATTTAGCTTCTTACAAACTCTTATATTAGGTACAGAAGACAGCTAAAATAATGATATTAGAGCAAGTCTTGTTCATGCTAATCTATAGGTTTAAATTTTTGTTTAAATGCATGGGTCCAAACATACGAAAAGTTTAAGATGTCGCATTAATTTTATTTTAAAATTATTACAAGTTCTGCATATATAGATCGAAGTTTTTTTTTTTTTTTTTATAAATTGTGGATCTCTTTTTACAATGTCAGAGTTAAGCTAAAATGTGTAAACTAAATTATTGATACCAATAAATGCAGAGAGCCTGGCAAAACTTTTTTTTTTTTCAATATATAAATGAATGATTGCTAATCAATTCACGTAAGCCAACTCAAAAAATGATCCAAAAAAACATTCAAACATGCATAAATTCAAAAACAAATATTCTGGGGAAAAATTATCCAAGTACAAGATGTGATGGTTGTTTTTATAATGTCATTTCCACATCTAGAAATCGGGAAAAGTACTCGCATATAGCCTTTTATTTGTTATCATGTTATTTTTTTTCTTTATCTTCTTTCAATTCTTTGCTTTCTTTTATTTAAAGTGGCATGTACCACTTATAAAAGAGTTTTCATATTATTATTATGTTACAAAGTTATGGGCCCAATTATTTTCTTTTTGTTAGAGCATAGGTATTCTCTTATTGGAGGCAATTTTATTCGAGACACTGTCAGGCATTAAATATGAACACATTTCCCAGCGAGGATTCAAATCTAGTTCACCACATTGTGAAGGACTGGTCTTTTTTGCTAGATCCAATCTCTATTTATGACCCAATTATTTTCATTTGTACCTGTTCGCAGTCATACAGTTTGTATTTTAATTTCACACGAGATTCCAGCCAACCCCCTTCGCATTGACCCATTGTAAACATAACGAAATTTCTTCTTATCTTCATCACTTTTCTGGCTATCTGAATGTTCTTTTCTTTCTATGTTTTCTATGACCATGCATTGCACATGGTGAAGCTTTTTCTTTTATTTTTGAAAAATATAATCATTATGTTAAATTCTTCAAACATATGTAGTTGTATAAATTTAAAAATTAAATGATTATTTAAGAAATAGAATGCACAACAAAGTGTGATTAGAAGATTTGGCATAATGAGTGTAAAGAACCTAACCAGAGTTTAAATTTGTCCTCAGTTTTTGTCCTGTTCAGGCAAGTTAACGCCCTCTTTTTCCATAGGGGAGGATACCTGTACATCAATCACTCCTGCCCAATCTTATTTTTGACAACTTTAAAGACAGAATTACAATCAAATTAAAATTATAAAGACTAAAACATTAATTTTCTTTTTAAAACAACTTAAATTTTAGATTTCATACAAATACCATAGACAGCCAAATTACATAGGATGCTTCCTCCACTTAAAAATAAAATAAAATAGATCACTCATGCTCTCTCTCTTCAAAAGCAAACACTCAAAGCTTCCCACTTTTTCCCAAAAAACAGAAAGCTTCCCACTTTTGAGTATAAAATTCCATGCAAAAGGTAAAGGTGCCACCAAATTTGAATGCAAAACCGGTGCAATGCGGATTAACACGCGCGCACAGGTGGCTAAGTCGCCCTTTAATTTTTTTGGGGAAGCTTTTTCTTTTATTTAAAAAAAATAATCATTATGTTAAATTCTCCAAACATACGTAATTATATCTTCTATTTATTTATATAAATTTAGGATTAAATAATTACATGAAAAAAATAGAATACACAATAAAGTCTGATAAAAAAATTTGACATAAGGAGTATACAAAAGTACAAAACCTGACCTGAGCTTTATTTTCTTTTCTATAAAGTTTATATTTTATTAGATATATATTTTCCATGATGTATACAACACAAAATACAAAAATTTGCAACTTTGGTTTTTAAGTTTTAAAGATCTTTCAAATTATAATAACAAAAATATTTTATTTAATTGAAATAAATAAATTTGTAATTGCAAAATGCTTTTTAAATGATCCAAAATAAAAGAAAATATAAAGACATACATCAAAAAGGATTTTATCTATTGCATATCATTCTCATTCCATCAAATATAAAGACAATATCTTTATATAAATTTACAATAAATCAAATAATTTATGAGTTTTAAAATGTAATTTCTTATTAAATTAAATTTATGTATATTTATTTTTAGTTTTTAACATATTAATACTTTGATAAAGTAAAGATGTTAAAAAAATAAGTACAACTTTAGAATTAGATAACTAATTTGGAGATATTAAGAAAATTAATTAAATTGGTTTTTTTTTATCACAAATATGTATTGGTCTTCTTAAATTAACTTTTTTTAATCATGTGGAATAGCTGATTTGAATTATTCCTTAGTAAAAAAAATGAAAAACAAAGTAAATTGAGAACTTATATTTAAAATTAAATCTAGCTTTCTAACTAACTTTTATATCCAATGGATGTCCAATATCAGAGAAATAGCTTTGAGGAAGCCATGGCTGCTCATGAAGCTGGGTTCATAAATGACCTGCAGAAAGTGCGAAAATGGAGGTCTGCGTTATTTGAAGCTGCTAGCTTGTCACCAGCATGGCTTTTCGAAGATGGGTATGTTGTCCTTTTAGTATTTTGCTTTCTTATCTGCCTTCTGCTGATGAAATTTTCAAATAATTAATGGTTGCTTAGCAGTTCATGGTGAATCCCTATAAATCTGCGCCTTACTCGTATGATTTTATCTGCGTGTATATTGTCTTGCAGTTTTTAAACTAATTATAAACTAGAAAGTTGTTAAATATAAATATTTTGATTTAATTTTTAACTACAAATGTTATTTTTTATCATGGGAATCAGAAAATTTTAGTTTATTTAGTAATTGCTGTTATATCTATATCATCATTGGATCTGTGAAATGTTGGAGACTAACAAATAATACTTCCGCACATCCAATGTGACATTGCTCTTCATAAACCATTCAGAAGATATTGGGTAAAGGTTTAAATTTGCCCTGAAACTTTTCACTCATGAGAGCTAGCACTAAATTTTTTTTTGTGCAAATTACTCTGGAAGTTTTCAATCCTAGCAATTTTACCCCTTGTCATTAAAATTGTTAATGGTTAATATTGTTACGATTTTAAACTTTCAAGATAAATTTATATTCTAAAAGACTTTCAGGTGCCCATAATCACTCCTGTATGAAAATTTCCTGAGCAAATTGTACATTAACTCGAAGAGATTAAGCAGGTTATCTATAGTTAGTGAGAGTTATATTCTACTCTTGAATACAAAACTATTTTGCACACTCATATATGAGTATAGGATCCGTTAGCTTTCTGAATAAACTATACACAATATCACATGTATTAAATGGAGTTTGATCAATGAGTTCCACTTTTTATGACTTGTTCTAGTATTACTATTTTGGTTTTAATTTTCTTTTGGTCCGGCTCTTTTGGATTTATCTAAATGGTTCCATCTGTGCAGCAAATGTTTAGAATTCTATAGCAGAAAGAGAATTTGCTTGTTTGCAGGTATGAATTTGGGTTTATTGAAAGGATTGTTGGAGATGTGTATGCTAGGCTTCCTCCTAAACCACACCATAATGTAGAACACATGGTTGGACTTGAGCCTCGGATAGATGAAGTGATCTCACTTTTAAATAAATCTGACAATGGTGTCTGCATGTTGGGAATTCATGGAACTGGTGGAATTGGCAAAACAACCCTTGCAAAAGCTGTCTACAATTCAATATTCTACCAATTTGAAGGTGTATGTTTCTTGTTTGATGTCAATGAGGCATCAAAAAAATTCCAGGGCATTGTTCATCTTCAACAAAAGCTTATGTCTGATATTCTTGAGGAAAAGATCCTGAGATTTTGTAGTGCTGATGAAGGAATATCTAAAATAAAACACAGACTCTCTCATAAAAGAGTTTTGTTGGTTCTTGATGATGTGGATGAGATTGAACAGTTAGAACGACTTGCAGGGGGGTGTGATTGGTTTGGTTGTGGAAGCAAGGTCATTATAACAACAAGAAATAAGCAATTGCTCATTGCTCATAATGTTAAAAGAACATATGAATTGATGCAGCTAAATGATCATGACTCTCTTGAACTCTTTTGTTGGCATGCCTTTCACATGAGCCTACCTCCAAAAGGCTACCAACAGATGTCTAGTCATGTGATAAGTTATGCAAAGGGCCTTCCTCTGGCTTTAAAATTAATTGGTGCCAATTTAGCAGATAAAAACTTAGAGGAATGGAGGTCTACATTGGAAAAATATGATCGTATCCCAGAAAGAACAATACATGAAGTACTAAAGATAAGCTATGACTGCTTACAAGATGGAGCTAAGACTGTATTCTTGGATATTGCTTGTTTCATTAGAGAGGAGATATTAGGTTCTCTTGATGAAATAGTAGACTCTTCTGATTATGGTGTAAGGTTTTATATTGAAGTGCTTATTGATAGATCTCTTATAGCTGTTACTGATACTGGTAGTTTACACATGCACGATCTGATAAAACAAATGGGTAGAGAGATTGTTAGGAAGGAGGCACCATCAAATCCAGGCAAACGTAGTCGATTATGGAATTATAAAGATGTTCTTAAAGTATTGCATGAAAATTCAGTAAGAACCGAATTATTTTTTGTTTCCTCTTGTATGTTACATTTATTGTGCTATTGGGCAATATCTAACAAATGTTGCTTCTTTGGGTTTGCATTATAGGGAACTAGTAATATCGAAGGAATAATGTTTGATCGGCCTCAACAACAAGAAGTGGAGTGGAGTGGTATAGCATTTGAGAAAATGAATAATCTTAGAATCCTTATTGTCCGAAAGGCCCAATTTTCAACTGGTCCTAAATATCTTCCCAATAGTTTGAGATGGCTTGAATGGGAGGGATATCCTTCTACAAAATTGCCGCCAAAATTTTCCCCAAGCAAACTAGCTGTCTTCAAGTTATTCTGCTCTCCTTTCAAGTTGGAAGAGCCATTCATGGTACCTCTTTTTTTTTAACCTTTTATGTTTACCATTTTTGTTCAAATTTCTTTGGCTTTTATTTTCTTCAAAGAATCACGAATAAATTGCTTCAATTACCCTACTTTTCTAAACTTATATAGACCTCTTTCATCAAATATGCTCAAATCTCCTTGTTTTTTCCCCATAACATCTCTTATAGTCAAAGTTAATTAACCAATTTGCCGTTTTTTGTTTTGGCAGAGATTTGAATATTTGACATGCATGAATTGCTCAAATTGTGAATTCATAACTGAAGTACCCGATATGTCTCAATGTCAAAGTTTAAGGAGATTGCTGTTTGAAGATTGTTACAATTTGATCAAAATTCATGATTCAGTGGGATCTCTCTCGAAGCTGGTTGAATTAAATGTTAGTGGATGCGTTAAACTTACAAGCTTTCCGCATGAAATCGAGATGCCATCTCTTCAAGCGATTGATTTGAGTTTTTGCGAGAGTCTTGACTACTTCCCACATATAGTTGGAAACATGGATGCATTAACGCATGTTTGGATTGAAGAAACATCTATTAAGGAGCTCCCACCTTCCATTGGAAATCTTGCCCGGCTTGAATCTTTGAACTTAAGCTCTTGCAAAAGTCTTAGGGAGCTTCCAAACAGCTTATTCACGTTTCAAAATCTTGACTGGCTTGGTTTGGAAGGCATTCATCCTGATGGCAGAAAGTCTTTAAGGAAATTATTGCAAGAGAGCCAACCAGCTAGTAGCTGCACAAACGTACAGTTCTTGATGCTCCAAAATTGTTGTCTCTTGGATGAAGATGTTCAACTAACTCTGGATCTTTTCCGAAATTTGATAGATTTAAATCTATCAGGGAATGATTTTGTGTCCCTTCCTGAGTGCCTTAAAGAGTGTGGTAAGTTGTTGAAATTGAATGTGAATAACTGCAAGTGGCTAAGAGATACACCAGGGTTACCATCAAATTTGCAGATAATGGGGGCAGAGAATTGCATTTCATTAACTCCAAAGTCATTGGGCCATTTATGGTCTCAGGTTTCTTGCCTACTTTTTTCTATTTTCTTTTTCTTTAGTTCCTTTGATGATTATTCAAATTAAATACAATTTCGGTTGATTTGAATTTTTTTAAAACAGTCTGCCTGTGCAAGCTAACGCAGTCCATAAAATTTCCCTTTATTCTCTTCATATATTGTTTTCAAATCTGAAAAATGTCTTTTGCCTCTGTTGTTTTGGTAAATCAGGCCAAAAGGGAGTTCTATGGCATGAGGACCATTTTCCCAGCAAAGTCATCTCCTGATTGGTTCCACAGTTGGTGTGAAGGAGGGAAAGTGTCTTTTCTTGCTCGTAGGAATTTCCCTCATGTGGCATTTGCATTTGAGTTGGGGAAAGCCAACACGAGTAGGAGAAAATCATTACATTTTTCTCTGAGCATCAATGGTCGCATATTACAAGAGAGAAATGATCGTATCACAATTGCACCAGATCACGTGGCTTTATTTAATCTGGGAGTGGCTTTTGAGGGAGAAGACTGGAGGTGGCTTCAAAGATTCATGGAATTGGATTGGAATGATGTGGAGATACAAGTCATTTGTTTAACGCCAGAGATACCTGTGGTTAAGTGTGGAGTTTATGTGTACCAACGGCTAACAAACATGGAGAATATCCAATTCAAGTCTCCATTGGTTTCCATAAATACTCCAGCAACTTCATTGAAACGAAAAGCCATAGCTTCTCCTCCAAATGCACCATCCAAGAAGGCCCTCAGAAAGCTCAAGACTACTGATAAAGGAAAGATCAACAACATAAAGAAAGGTTCAAGGTGTGCCTCTTCTTGATACTGATTGTGGTTTCAAGATTTCTGCTTATTATTAATTTTTCCATATCCGTGTATTGTAGGAGAAATCAACGACACCAATTGTTTCATTCCCGCCGCAAGAGAAGGATGGTTTTTCCAATGGGTAAGCATGTTTGGAGATTTTTGAACTGTTAGCAATTGAATATTACGGTTGATAGCCCATTGTTAGATGATGAGATGACACCTCTGAGCTGTTACGGTGTGTCCGGGCAACTGGCATGATCCCGGCTGCAAACTTAATATTTTAATTTGCTAGGGATTGAAAACTACATATGTGCAATAATCATGCTATGAGAATTCTTTTCCCTTCCGTGACAATTGGTGTGAAGGAGGGAAATTCATGTGGCCTTGGCATTTGAGTTGGGGAAGCCAACATGAGTGAGAGATACTCCTTTGAGATTTGTATCAGTATCAATGGTTGTCAAATACTACGGAGTTACGAAGGTGCTGTGATATCACAAGGTCATGTATGTTTATTTAATATAATAAAGTCTCCTGGGGGAGAAGTAGAAGAGCTGTGGAGTTTATGTGTACAAACAGCAAACATACATGGAAGATGTCCTGTTCAAATCTTCTGATCTGCTTTCCGTGAATATTCAAGATCTTCACTGAAACGTAAAACGGTTACATCTCCTATTCAGCCGTCCAAGAAGTTGCTGAGAAGATTGAAGGCAACTGACGAACGAAAACTCAATCACAGAGAGAAAGGGACAAGGGACAAGGGACAAGGTGAGGAGGATCAAATAGTATATAATGCTACCAGAGCAACTTGCATTATGCAAATGTACATGCTATCTATGGTTTTAAATTGTGTAAATGTGTACATCCGAACTAATTGAATTAAGTCAAAACTATAGAAATTGAAATTAAATTGTAACAAGTAAAAGTTTAGCAATGGCATTACAATTAAGTTAAAACTATAGGAACCAAAACATTGATTTCCTTTTCAAATAGCTTATTTTTTAGATCTCATACAAATATCATAGACAGCCAAGTGACAATTCCAACAAGGATGCATGGCCACATGTCCATAGGATGCTTCCTCCACTTAAAAATAAAATAAAATAAAATAACTCATGTCTCTCCCTTTTAAAGTAAACATTCAAAGCTTCCCACTTTTGAGCTGGGGGTGTAAAATTCCATGCAAAAAGTAAAGGTGTCACCAAATTTGAAAGTACATGGGTGCTATGAATTAGCATGCTCGCACAGATGGCCAAGTCGATCTTTTTCTTTCTTGTATTTTTTATGACCATGCATCGTACATGGTTAAAAGATATAATCCTTATATATCAAATTGTCTAATCACATATAACTATATGTCTTTTTTTTTTTAATGTGAGTTTAGGATTAATGGTCGTATGAAAAAAATAGAATATATAATAGTGTGCTTGGAGAACTTAACCTAAGATTTATCATTTTTTAATAAAGTTTATATTTTATTATATTTATTTTTTCTATAATGTATACAATGCAAAATACTGAAAATTTCAATTTTACTTTTTATTTTTAAAATATTCCGAATCATAATAATAAAAATGTTTTAGTTAATAATAATAAATAAATTTATAATTCGAAAATACTTATTAAATGATGCAAAATAAAAATATATATATAAAGACACACATCAAACTATGAAAGTATTTTATTTATTGCAAATGTCTCATTCCATTACTATGTATGAAGACAATATTTATAAATAAACTTATAATAAATCAAATTATTTATAAACTTTAATATAAATTTATTGTTAAATTTATATATATAGTTTTCTAAGATATTATATTAATATTTTTAAAAAGTAAACATGTTATAGAAATAGGTGTAATTTTTAAAAACTATTACTCCTATAGTCCTATGTACTCCCACGGATCCATTTTTAATTACCATACTGGAAAAAGCAGAGAGGGCATTAACTTGTTAATTTTGTCTGAAAATGAAACTTCTTTTTTTGTTTTACACTACATAAGATTTCAAATCTTGTTCTATTAATTGTAATAGGAATAATATTTTTAAGAAAAAGCCTGTAATTGACCCACTTGGCTCATATTATACACAAAAAATAAACTTTCTTTTGAGACATTCTATGTATTTGAAATTGGAGGGAGAATCATATTGGGAAAAGAAATATTTGTGTCTTTTTCCAAATAATATATGAAAAAGGAAAATAAAGATAAGGACATCAATGTCATTTGCACCTCTATTTAATTACTGTGCTTTTATTCTGCTCACCTAAAACGCAGACGCCTTTTTAAAAGGGCAAAAAACAAAAAAGAAAAAAAAAAAAGCTCAATGCTCTCGGCCTCTCTAAATCCGCGTCAAATTGTTCTGATTTCTGAAACTTTCCCGGCTTGTCGCCAATCCACTGCTCTTGGGTAAATTAATGGGAAAATCATACAACCTACTTTTAACTTAATTTGAAATATAATATCTAATTTTATTATTTATAATTTTGTCGTTATCTTATCTTATGCAGTGGGAGTAGTAGTAATAATAATTAATAATGATAATGTGCTTATGTGACTTCCAGCGTAACTCCCGGTGTTTTTGTATTCTCTCTCAATCCTACTTTCCAGCGTACCAGCTTCCAGCTCCGCCATTGACGGCTGATTAGATCCCTTCTGTTTCTTTCTTTCTTTCTTCTTCTTCTTCTTCTTTCTCTGTTTCTTCCTCAACCGGACGAGGCTTTAAGCAAGACACCACAGACTTCTTTTTCTTTTTCAGCCAAACAAGATTGATGGACCACCTGCTCACAAATTCCCCACCATTTTCCACCCTTCTCTTCGTTGGAGGATGAAACGTCGTGGAAATTTCTCTCGTTTGAGTATTCAAATCTCAATTTCCTGATTCACTATTGTCCTTATCACAGCCATGGCGACTCAAGGGGCAGCATCATCATCCCTTAGCTTTACCAAGTACAGATATGATGTTTTCTTGAGTTTCAGAGGCGAAGACACTCGCAAATCCTTCACTGTCATTCTCTACGAAGCTTTGCGCAAGAAGGGAATCAACGCCTTCATTGATGACAGGAAGCTCGGTAAAGGGGAACGAATCAAACCTTCGCTTCTTAAAGCCATAGACAAATCCAGGATTTCTATTATTGTGTTCTCTGCAAACTACGCTACTTCCACATGGTGCCTTGATGAACTGGCTCACATCATTCGGTGTAACAAGAAGAAGAAGAACCAGGTGGTTATGCCAATATTTTACAAGGTGGATCCAATGGATGTCCAATATCAGAGAAATAGCTTTGAGGAAGCCATGGCTGCTCATGAAGCTGGGTTCATAAATGACCTGCAGAAAGTGCGAAAATGGAGGTCTGCGTTATTTGAAGCTGCTAGCTTGTCACCAGCATGGCTTTTCGAAGATGGGTATGTTGTCCTTTTAGTATTTTGCTTTCTTATCTGCCTTCTGCTGATGAAATTTTCAAATAATTAGTTGTTGCTGATGGTTTTACACGCTTCATGGTGAATCTCTATAAATTTGGTTATTACTCGTGAGTTATCTGAGTATTTATAATCTTGAACTATTTTAAAAAAGTAATTATAAACTAGAAGGTTTTTACCATAAATATTTTAATTTAATTTTTAACTGTAAATCTTTATTATTTTTTACCACTGAAATCAGAAAATAATGTTTTAGTTAGTAATTGCTAATTTATATATCTATTATCATCATTGGATCTGTGAATACAAATTTATCTTGGACGTTCATATATGAGCAACGGATCCATTCGCTTTTTGAATAAGCTATACGCAATATCTTGTGTATTAAATGGAGTTTGAAAAATGAGTTACATTTTTTATGACGTGTTCTGGTTTTTTTTTTTTTGTTTTTTGGATTTACTTAATGGTTCTATTCGTCCAGTAAATATTTATACTTTTGAGTTTTTTTAGGGGAAAAAACCCTTTACATAGTGAATTGATAAAAGGAAAAAAACTTAAATCTAATTGATATTGAGGATGTAATCTTTGAAGGATTCAATCAGATTTTACTTGAAGGAATTATCATAATAATAGACAAGTAGAAGAAGAAGACATTTTACATCAATTTTCTTCACAACAAAAAAAGAATTTGTTCTTCTTCTTTTTTTTGTGTAGAAACGAATTTGGGTTTATTGAAAGGATTGTTGAAGCCGCGTATGCTATGCTTCCTCCTAAACCATACCACAACACAGAGCACATGGTTGGACTTGAATCTCGGGTAGAAGAAGTGATCTCGCTTCTTAATGAATCTGGCGTTTGCATGTTGGGAATTCATGGAACTGGTGGAATTGGCAAAACAACCCTTGCAAAAGCTGTGTATAATTCAATCTTCTACCAATTTGAAGGTGCATGTTTCTTGTTTGATGTCGGAGAAGCATCAAAGAAGTTCCGTGGTATTGTTCATCTTCAACGAAAACTTTTGTCTGATATTCTTGAGGAAAGGATCAGGGATTTTGGCAGTGCTGATGAAGGAATATCTAAAATAAAACACAGACTGTCTCATAGAAGAGTTTTGTTGGTTCTTGATGATGTTGATGGGATTGAACAGTTAGAACGACTTGCAGGAGGGTGTGATTGGTTTGGTTGTGGAAGCAAGGTCATTATAACAACAAGAGATAAGCAATTGCTAATTGCCCATAATGTTGAAAGGACATATGAATTGATGCAGCTAAATGATCATGACTCTCTTGAACTCTTTTGTTGGCATGCCTTTCATATGAGCCTACCTCCAAAAGGCTATCAACATATGTCTAGTCATGTGATAAGTTATGCAGATGGCCTTCCTCTAGCTTTAAAATTAATTGGTGCCAATTTAAAAAATAAAAATTTAAAAGAATGGAGGTCTATATTGGAACAATATGATCGTATCCCAGAAAGAACAATACATGAAGTACTGAAGATAAGCTACGACTACTTGCAAGATGGTGCGAAGATTATTTTCTTAGATATTGCTTGTTTCTTTGGAGAGGAGATGTTGGATTCTATTGATGAAATAGTAGAAGCTTGTGATTATGGTGCAAGGTTTTATATTGAAGTGCTTCTTGATAAATCTCTTTTAGCTATTACTGAAAATGGCCACTTGTACATGCATGGTCTGATAAGACAAATGGGTAGAGAGATTGTTAGGAAGGAAGCACCATCAAATCCTGGCAACCGTAGTAGATTATGGAGTTATAAAGATGTTCTTAAAGTATTATATGAAAATTCAGTAAGAACCTCACCATCTTATGTTTCCTCATTTACATTAAATTTATCGTGCTACTGGGCAATATCTAACAAATGCTACTTATTTGGGTTTGCAATATAGGGAAGTAATAATATTGAAGGAATAATGTTTGATCCACCACAACCAGAAGAAGTGGAGTCCAGTGGTATAGCCTTTGAGAAGATGATTAATCTTAGAATTCTCATTATTCGAAAGGCTCAATTTTCCAGTGGCCCTAAATATCTTCCCAATAGTTTGAGATGGCTTGAATGGGATGGATATCCTTCTACAAATTTACCACCAAATTTTTCTCCAAACAAATTAGTTTTCTTCAAGTTATGTCACAGTCATTTCAGGCTGGAAGAGCCATTCAAGGTACTTTGTTTAACCTTTTATATTTACCATTTTTCAAATTTATTTGGCTTTTATTTTCTTCAAAGAATCAGGAGTAAATTAGTTCAATTATCCTTCCATTTCTCTGAAGTTATGCAAAAACCTCTTTCATCAAATCTGCTCAAATTTCCTTGTTTTATTTCGGTTAAATAGTAGGGATTTGTTCATAACATCTCTTGTAGTTGATGTTAATTAAGCAATCTGCTTTTTGATTTGGCAGAGATTTGAATATTTGACATGTATGAATTTCTCAAATTCCGAATTCATAACCGAAGTACCTGATATGTCTCAATTTCAAAGTTTGAGGAGGTTGTTGTTTAAAGATTGTTACAATTTGATCAAAGTTCATGATTCAGTGGGATCTCTCTCTAAACTGGTTAAATTAGATGTTGGTGGATGTGTCAACCTTACAAGCTTTCCACATGAAATCAATATGCCATCTCTTGAAGAGCTTAGTCTCAATCACTGCAAGTGTCTTGACTACTTCCCACATATAGTTGGAAAGATGGATGCATTAACGGATATTTGGGCTAAAGACACTTCTATTAAGGAGCTCCCGCCTTCCATTGGGAATCTTGTGGGGCTTGAATGTTTAAATTTAAGCTATTGCAAAAGACTTGGGGAGCTTCCAAACAGCATATTCACATTGCAAAATCTTAGCTGGCTTGATTTGGAAGGCATTCAACTTAATAGCAGAAAGTCTTCAAAGAAATTAATGCAAGAGAGCCAACCTATTATTAGCTGTACAAACGTGAAGTTCTTGACGCTCAGAAATTGTTGTCTATTGGATGAAGACATTCACCTAACTTTCAATCTTTTCCAGAATTTGATCGAGTTAAATCTATCCGGGAATGATTTTGTGTCCCTTCCTGAGTGCCTTAAAGAGTGTGATCAGTTGTGGAGATTAGATGTGAATAGCTGCAAGAGGCTGAGAGACATACCAGAGTTACCACCAAACTTGCTGAAAATGGGGGCAGAGGATTGCATTTCATTAACTACGGAGTCATTAGGCCATTTATGGTCTCTGGCTTTTCTGGTAGTTTTTCTATTTTCTATTTTCTTTTGCTATTTTGATGATTATTCAAATTAATTACGACTGTGATTGCTTTGAAATGGAAAAAAAAGCTATATGTCTTATCTTTTTTGTTTCGAAATCAGATATTATATTTTCTCTTTTCCTGTAGATTTTTGAGTAGAGCTTAGCTGCTTATATGTCAGTAATTAAGTCGTAGTCATTAAAATTTCTCTGTTTTTTTTTTCTTCATAAGTTGTTTTCAAATCTCTGAAAAATCTTTTGCCACTCTTGCTTTGTCAAATCAGGTAGAAAAGGAGTTAATGGACATGAGCGCCATTTTCCCAGCAACATCATTTCCTAACTGGTTCCACAATTGGTGTGAAGGAGGGAAAATGTCTTTTCTTACTCGTAGGAATTTCCCTCCTCTTGCCTTTGCCTTTGAGTTGGGGAAAGCCAATAAGAGTACGAGACAATGCTTCTTCCATTTTTCTCTGACCATCAATGGTCGTGTAATCGAAAGGAGATATGATGGTATCTCAGTTGCACCAGGTCATATATCTTTATTTAATCTAGGAGTGGCTTTTTCGCGAGAAGACTGGAGGCGACTTCAAAGGTCATGAAATTGGATTGGAATGATGTGGAGATACAAGTCATTTGTTCAGTTTCAGAGATACCTGTGGTTAAGTGTGGAGTTTATGTGTACCCACATGAAACAAACATGGAGAATATCCAATTCAAGTCTCCTTTGGCTTCCATAAATGCTCCATCAACTTCACTGAAAAGAAGAGCCATAACTTCTCCTCCTAATGAACCCTATAAGAAGTTCCTGAGGAAGTTAAAGGTTGCTGATAAAGGAAAACTTGATAAAACAAAGAAAGCTTCAAGGTGTGCCTCTACTTGATACTGAATTACCGATTGTCGTTTCAAGATTTTGGTGGTTATTAATTTTTCCATGTTCATTTGTTGTAGGAGAAATAAACGACGCCATTTTTTTCATGCGCTTTGCAAGAGAAGAAGGATGGTTTTTCCAATGGGTAAGCATGTTTGGAGATTTCTGAACTATTAAACAATACAGTTGCTAGAGGCCCCTCAAAAGATGAGATGACGCCTCCAAGTTGTTACGGATCCGGATGCAAACTTGATTGTTTAATCTGCAAGAGGTTGTTTGCTGGGGGAAAAAAAAATTGGCGAGAGATTAAAAGCTGTATATGTACAATAATCATGCTATGAATTTTTTCCCCCCTTTTGTTACAATTACAATCATAACTCTTGACATAAGATCTTTTTGTTTTTTTGGTGGATAAACTCTCGAAATAGGATCTGAATGTAAGGCTCATAATCAAGGTCTTCTGGATTATGTTAATGCAGAGGCTTATCTAAAAATAGCTTAGCTTATTGGTAGTTTATAAGTACTACCTCCGGTCCTAATTATAAGACCCAGTTGACTTATTTGAGGAGATTAAGGAAGTAAGTTAAGTTAGTTATTTGTAATAAATAAGTATTGTCATTCCTAAAATATCCTTGCTAATTAAGTATATTGGCTAGAACTATTGTTATTAGAAGGATTATCTTGGAAAAAATGCATAAATATGAGAGACAAAATGGATTGGAGTCTTATAATTAGGACCAAATAAAAAGTCAAACAGGGTCTTATAATAAGGACTGGAGGTAGTAGTTTTTTAATTATAATTTACAAAATACGAGATAAACAAGTAGGGAGAATTCTGTCTCAATTTATGTGAACATACTTATTAGTCGTGAATCCGAACAAGTTCAAAGGAATACAGTTATATGTCTTCGATGATATTGTAACAACGTATATTGGAATACAATTATTAGCAGACGATCCGTATGAAGATGGCTCTTCATCACGTATCTGGGATGCTGGGCTTGGATTTGGAAGAATGTGATGCCTTTTGAGTGGAAAATTAAATCCAAAAAGGAATAATATGTGAATCCATTTAAATTTGCACCATCGGCATTGACTTGGTGGGAAGATTTAAAGTGTATGCTCCAATCTTTTTTTATTGCCAGGGAATCCTTTTTTTTTTTTAATACACCTATTCATCTGATCTTTATTATAAGACATTTTAATTAACTTTTCAGAATTAAAGCGTGGTTAAATCATTAACTTTTATCTAAAAATTCATTCTTAATTTGCCCATGTTAAAAATCAATAATTATGGTAAAAAATGTTTAAAATCAATAATCACGTCCTTAAGAGCGATAAAAAAATTGAAGGCAAAATTGCACGTTTAGTTTTTCAACTTTATAGCAGATTTTAATTTTGTTCCTTAATTTTATAAAATATTTTTGCAGTTTTCTAACTCTAATAATGTTTGTAAAAAAAGATGCTTCATATTGAACGTCCCTCCTAATTAACCACCCAGTAAAAAAATCTGGCTCTTAAAAAGTTAAAGGCACAGGTGAGATCTTACTTTTATTATTGGTAATAAGTTTAATTGGGAGGGGATATTCTCATAAATCATAATCCCTCTTTTTCATCTTTTTCTCGTAAACTTATCTCCACCTTTTAATTAAATAATAATAGTTCGGATTTCATATTTTATGAAACTATTATTATAATATTGTATAAATAGGAGAGAGAAGGTGAAAATCTGTATTTTAAAATATTAAATCTGAACAATCTATTATTTAATCTAACAGTAAGAATGAGATTCCAAGAAGAAAAAAAGAAAGAAAAAATACTGAGAGGATCCAGGTCCATTTGAATTAATCCTTATTATCTTGGGGCCTCTGACCATCGTGTCAGTCAGAAATTTTTTGGGAGCAAAACCAGCGGGGAAGCATTTTTAAGGTACTGACTTTTTTTTTTTTTTTAATGTGAGCATTTCACTTTGATATGTTCAATAATTGAAAGTATTGGATCCAAAAAGACACATAACTGGAATTAAAAGCACAATCTAAAATTAATTAGAACTAGTGACAACTATTAGGTGATCAAAATGTCAACCTAATATATAATAATTGGGTCTTCGATAAGCTTTACTTAAAAAATGAGAGCAATTATCAATTTAGATTACATTTAAATTAAAACTCACGAAATTTCTTCAATTATATGAAAAGCAAAATTACCTGTAACTTATATTATTCATAAAAATTAATTAATGGTGATTATATTAGTCAATCTCTGCATACTACGGGCCTTAAGAGTAATTTTATAATGAGCACTTTTTTTTTGGCCAAATTTATTATGAGTAGTTACAACTTGTTTAATTTCCAAATTTCTGAATCCGGCTCTTAATTCTAATTCTTTTTTTTTTTTTGGTTTGCCAACGTCTTAATTCTAATTCTACTACTTTAGAATGCAATACTGCTTCGGATATTCGTATTGACTACAAAATCAATTACTTTTTTTTTTGCCAAAAAATGCAATCAATTATATTATTCACATTTTATAGATAATAATTATAGTACAAGCTGGTTTACGTTTTGGATTCAACATTGATAATAATTTTTTATTGCTTTTACATATTCTTTTGAATTTGCATTTTTCAGCCTGAGTTTTTCGGATTTACTAGACCCTCATTTGAGCAAAAAATATTTCATAGTTTAACAATTGGAACTTGAAAAATTTTAGATAGATAAATACAAAAGAAAACATTTTACATAATAATCTTCATAGTGAAAAGAAAATTTTCTCTTTTGCATATATCAATCTGGATTTATTGAAAGGGTTGCGGAACATGCATATACTGCGCTACTGCCTAAATGGTTCCATAGTATTGATGATATACAACAGTGATTTTGGCAGGGGTTAAAAATTTTTAATTAATTTTTATTATTTTTATTAGATTAATATAATTTCTTGTTTTTAAAATTGGTTTTTATTTTGGTTTTAGTCCTTCAAGTTTTAAATTATAGATTTTGATCCCTCAAATTTCTTTTTATTTAAAACATTAGTCACTATAATTTAGTAAAAATTAGACTATTTTTTCTCTTGAAGGACTAAATCTTATAATTTAAAACTTGACAGATTTAATTTAAAATGAGTACAAACTTAAAAAACTAAAAATTATATTAAGTTTTTTTTATCTTATATTTTTTCTTTATCAAAATTTTAAAACACCACCTTCCCCTTCATTTCCCCGCGCCAAACGTATAGGGTAAATTACTAATATACCGAATCCGTACTCTTGTTGACAGTGACGGGTCTTCTTCTCAAGTCAAGGACCCAGCCAGCCATGAGGCGTCCCCCTTTTCCTTTTTTGTGAAAAGCAGTCAGGCGTCCTGATGGGCATGGCGACAGGGGAAAGCTGAAAGTATTGGATTCCAAAAGACAGCCAACAGGAGTTAAACTTTTGCCTGTAAATTCCACTTTACTTACAGAATCAAATATCAATATCTAGCAATCTGTGGGGGTTATCGCAGCCATGGCGATTCAAGTTTCAGCACCATCATCCCATGGCGTCGCCCGGGAACCAAAGTATAGATATGATGTTTTTCTGAGTTTTAGAGGCGAAGATACTCGCCATTCATTCACTGTCATTCTCTACAATGCTCTGCACCGTAAGGGGATCAACGCCTTCATTGATGACAAGAATCTTGGCAAAGGGGAACGGATCTCACCGACGCTTCTTAAAGCCATAGAGAAATCTAGGATTTCGATTATTGTGTTTTCTATGAACTACGCTACTTCCACATGGTGTCTGGAGGAACTTGCTCACATCGTTCGGTGTAAGAAGGAGAAGAACCAGATGGTTATGCCAATATTTTACAAGGTGGATCCGATGGATGTCCGATATCAGAGGAATAGTTTTGAGGAAGCCATGGTTGATCATGAAGATAGGTTCAGAAATGACTTGGAGAAAGTGCGAAGATGGAGGTGTGCTTTGTCTGAAGCGGCTAGTTTGTCATCGGCTTGGCTTTTCAAAGATGGGTAGGTTTCTTTCTATTATTTTCTTTATAGTGTTATGCTGATAGAATTTTCCAATCCTTAAGTAGTGGTTGCTGACGATGCAACACGTACTCTCTTTAATATATTTGAAATTTTGACCGGTAACTTCTACTGTTGCACTTGAAAAGGTGAATGAATCCTTGTAAACTTGGGGTTTTAAGAAATCGAGTAGAAGATATGTTAGTAAACAGAGTACCTCTTGTCATTGAGAGGTGTACCTTTTTTTTTTTGGGGTGAGGGTGTCTGAATCCAGTTCATATTTATAATAATTCTGCTTAATTTGAAATACAATATTATTGTGGGCATTCATACATGACTATAGAATAATTAGCTTTTGTATCACAGGAATGATGGATAAGCTTCAGTATTTGTGGGGATTGGTAAGATTTTATAATTGACGTTAATGATGATATGTTATTGGTTTAATATTTGAAAAGCATACTTTAGTTCCTCTGGATTTACATTTTTTTTTTGTCTATTTCTATTTGGCCGAGCAGCACATATTTTTAAATTAAATATTAAATATAAATTGTATGTTTTTTAAAATACTTTCATGCTATCAAAGGATGAAGATAATAAGAGAGCAACTTGATGCATATTGATGTCATCTTAAAAGCATTACAACATAAATTGTATATGTTTTAAAATACTTTCATGCTATCAAGGGATGAAGATAATAAGAGAGCAAATTGATGCATATTGATGTCATCTTAAAAGCATTACAATATAATTTTCTTTTAAAAAATGAAGCCAATTTGCATGAATATCGTCATTTTAAAAGTAGAAAATTTCCTTTGTGTAGATATGAATTTGGGTTTATTGAAAGGATTGTTGAAGATGCATATTCTAGGCTGCCTCCTAAACGATTCCATAACATTGATTACATGGTTGGACTTGAGCCTCGTTTAGAAGAAGTGATGTCACTTCTGGATGAAAGTGCTCGTAGCGTTTGTATGTTGGGGATTCATGGAACCGGTGGGATTGGCAAAACAACCCTTGCCAAAGCTTTGTATAATACAATCTTCTACCAATTTGAAGGTGCATGTTTTTTGTTTGATGTTAGAGAAGCATCAATGAAACATCATGGCAATGAGGGCATTGTTCGTCTTCAACACACGCTTTTATCAGAGATTCTTGGGGAAAAGAGGATAAAGTTTAGCAGTGTTGATGAAGGAATATCTATACTAAGACACAGACTCTCACACAAAAAAGTTTTGTTGGTTCTTGATGATGTCGATCAACCTGATCGGCTAGAGCAACTTGCAGGAGGGTGTGATTGGTTTGGTTGTGGAAGCAAGGTGATCATAACAACAAGAAATAAGCAATTGCTAATTGCACGTAATGTTGAAAAGACATATGAAATGATGGGGCTAAATGATCATGACTCGCTTGAACTCTTTTGTTGGCATGCCTTCAAGTTGAGCCAACCTCCAAAAGGATATCAAGATATGTCAAATTGTGCGAGCAGATATGCACAAGGCCTTCCTCTGGCTTTAAAATTAATAGGCTCCAATTTGGCACATAGAAACTTAGAAGAATGGAAGTCTACATTGGAACAATATGAGAAGATCCCAGAAAGGACAACTCATGAGATCCTAAAGATGAGCTATGATTGCTTACCGGATAATGCTAAGCGTATTTTCCTAGATATTGCTTGTTTCTTCAAGGCAGAGACATTTGTATACATTGAAGACATGGTAGAAGCTTGTGATTTTGGAAGGTTTTATTTTGAGGTGCTTGTTGAAAAATCTCTTATAACTATTTCTGATAATGGTAAGTTGGGCATGCATGATCTAATACAACAAATGGGTAGAGAGATTGTTAGGCAAGAGGCACCATCAAATCCTGATAAACGCAGTAGAATATGGTACTATAAAGATGTTCTTAAATTGCTTCGTGACAATTTAGTAAGCATCTAAATCTTGTCTACTGCCAGTCATGTGATTTAATTTATTAAGCTATTTGGCCACGTCTAACACTATAATATTACTTATGTGGATCTGCATTATAGGGAAACAGTAATATTGAAGGAATAATGCTTGACCCCCCTCAACAAGAAGAAGTGACTTGGAGTGGTACAGCCTTCGAGAAGATGAATGATCTTAGAATTCTTGTGATTCGGAATACACAATTTTCAACAAACCCTAAATATTTACCAAATAGTTTAAGATTGCTTGATTGGGAGGGATATCCTTCTGCAAATTTACCATCAGATTTTTCTCCCAAGAAACTAACTTCCTTGAGGTTATGCAATAGCATATTCAGACTGGAAGAGCCATTCAAGGTACCTTGTTTAAAAAAGATTTTATAATTGTTTTCTTGTCAAATTTCTTTAGCTGTTATTAATTTTTTTTTTTTGGGGAAATATCAAGTGACGTGTTATTCTAATTTATGAGAATCTAATATGGTTACAAAATTGGACAGTTCATTTTGATTTATAACTTGTTCATATGTTAATAGTTACTGTTGATTAAATTATCTTCTTTTTTTTTTTTTGGCAGAGGTTTGAATTCGTGACGCACATGAACGTTTCACATTGCGAATTCATAACTGAGGTACCTGATATGTCTCAATTCCCAAATTTAAAAAGCTTGTTGTTTAGAGAGTGTTGCAACTTGATCAAGATACACCATTCAGTGGGATCTCTCTCTAAGCTGGTCCACTTGGATGTTAGTGACTGCACCAAACTTACAAGCTTTCCACATGAAATCAACCTGCCATCTCTTGAAGATATTAATCTTAGCCGTTGTAAGAGTCTTGACTATTTCCCGCATATAGTGGGAAAGAGGGATGCCTTGACCGATATTTGGGCTGAAGACACTTCTATTAAGGAGCTCCCACATTCCATTGGAAATCTTACTGAGCTCGAATGTTTAAATTTAAGCTCTTGCAAAAGTCTCAGGGAGCTTCCAAACAGCTTATTCACATTGCAAAATCTCAAGTGGCTTGAGTTGAGAGACAGTCACACGCCTAGCAGAAAATCTTTGATGAAATTAACGCAAGAGAGCCTCCTAATTATTAGCTGTGCAAACATAAAGTTCTTGAATCTTGAAAACTGTTGTCTATTGGATGAAGATCTTACCTTAGTTCTGAATTTTTTTCGGGATTTGCGAGAGTTAACTCTATCAGGCAATGATTTTGTGTCCCTTCCTGAGTGCATCAATGAGTGTGTTGAATTATTGAAACTGGAAATGGATAACTGCAAGAAGCTAAGAGACATACCGAAGTTGCCATCAAAGCTAAGAGACATAAAGGCAGAGTTTTGCACATCATTAACTGCCAAATCAGTTGGTCATTTATGGTCTCAGGTTTGTTTCATGTCATTTCTGTTCCCCCTTTCTTTGTTATGTGATAGACGAATCAAATTAAATACATTTGCGGCTAGTAAGATAGCTATTGGTAATTTTCATTTAGGATATAGATACATTTTTCACCCTCTGTTTTCCCAGTACAATCATCAATTTATTTCTGGACCTCTGATCACTTTTTCCCTTTAGAGCCATTCTTTTATCTAGTCAGATTTATTAGTCCATGCTCATCACAGCCCCTCTGTTGCTGCAGCAGCTTTTATTATTATCATTATTACTATTATATTTAGATCCTTTCCTTAAAATTCTTTTAAATTGTTGTTCTAGCTTCTCTGCTATCAATTTTCCTAATTTAATGTTCAGGTTAACTGATTGCTGTGTGTTTCTTATTGCATTCATGTCACTAGTTTAGTTAACATCACGACTGTGTTGAACTTTTTTGCTTACTTGTCACTAGTTAATTTTTGAATGCCTAACTTGAAAGTGCTCTTCTGTCAAGAATGAAAATAAGAATTTTACCTCCATTCTTTCATTTGTTGTTTTCTTTTCAAATCTGAAATCCCCTTTGGTATCTGTTCTTTTGGTAAATCAGGTCAAGAACGAAACCAATCTCTTCAGAATATGTATGCCAGCAACAACATTTCCTGATTGGCTTGACGATTGTTGTAAAGGAGGAGCATTGTCTTTTCGTGCTCGTGGGAATTTCCCTCGTGCAGCCCTTGCATGTGAGTTGGGGAAAGCAAACGCGAGTGGGAGACACTTCTTCCATGTTTCTGTGACCATCAATGGTCATGAAATACTAAGGAAAGAAGATGTAAACTATGGGAGTACACAAGGTCATGTGTACTTCTTTGATTTAAGATGGGCTTTTGACCTACCGGAGTGGAAGAGGCTTGATAGGTATCTGATATTGGATTGGAATGATGTGGAAATGCAAGTGAAATGTTTAACACCAAATATGCCTGTGGTTAGCTGTGGAATTTATGTGTATAAACAACACACAAACACGGACAATTTGCAGTTCAAGTCTTCTCGGCTTTCCATGAAGGCTCCAACATCTTCACTGAAACGAAGAGCGACTTCTCCCCCTCCTAATGAACCACCCAACAAAGTTCCTGAGAAAGTTCAAGGTTGCTGATAAAAGAAAACTCAAAATGACTCAGAAAGGGACAAGGTCAGCCTCTACTTTCTACTAGTTGTTATTTCAATTTTCAAGGTTTTTGTTTGTCATTAAGTTTTTTGCCTTACTTGTACTGTAGGAGAATTAGACGACGCCGAATTTTTCATTCGTGTTACAAGAGTGTTTCCTACGGGTAAGCGTGTCTGGAGTCTTGTATTACTGGCTATCAAATATTAAAGAAAAGGACATTTTTTTTCCCCGAACATGATTATTAATTTCAATGAGCTGAGTAGTCTCTCTCTCTCTCTCTCTCCCCCCCCCTGTGGGTTTTTGTTTTTAGTTAATTAGATTATCGTTCTAAATTGGTTATGTATTTTTATGACGAACGGGACAGGTCAACCTCTACATTCTTGAATTCTACTATAGTTTGAACAATTTTTGAAACTAATCCTTGTGTCCTGCACATAAGCAGATGCTGTTAGATTCCGAGTGATAAACATTTCCCATGTGTGGTAATGATAATTTTTGTTTTCTAACCAAGGATGCATTTACTCAATATTCTTGTTACAAATATAAGAAAAGTTATGCATTATTTCTTCAATCCCCCTGTTTTGGTAAATAGAAAAACAGAGCCTCATGGGACTTTTCATATCCCACCATGAAAAATTCCAGTTTTATTTCCTTTTTCGCCAGAAAAATTCAAATTTTATTTCAAACTTCAGATTTGCGTGGGTCCGTGAGTTTATGGGATGGGATTTTGGGGCCGTGGGCCAGTGAGGCACCGGCCTCAGGCCCCCAAAAAGTTATCTAATATCCCTATTATGTATTTGTGTCATTGAGTATTTATCAAAAATGAATATGTGGTACGATATATTGTTTGTTGTAAATTTTTTTTAGTAAAATCTTACGATCTAATGATATGCATGTAGATATTATGAATCATTTGAAAAGCCTTACTACTCGCTACCTCCTAATTTAGATAACTAATTTATAGATATTGAGTAAATTAGTTAAATTAGTTATTTGTAATAAATGTATCTTGATTTTTCTAAACTATTTTATTTAATGATATGCATTAGAATTACTTCTTAATTGGGAGTTCACTTAATATGTACAATCAATAGGTATGTTTTGGGTAAAAAAATTATAAATTTATGAGGACAAAATGAATTAAAATATTATATTTAGGATCAATGTAAATCTTTTATCTAACTCTTATATTTAGGACTGAAGGTAGTATTCGAAGATTTACTGAGAAAATGGTTTTGCTTTGCATCTACTTTTTTTACAAGGAAAAATTGCTATTGAAATGAACATAGCGCCTTTCATTTTAAAAAAAAACGTGTTAAATGTAAAGGAACATTTTAATGAAAATATTAGTGATAATATCGTACATTTTTATATTAAATATTTTTTATACATTTCATATCAATTTCTTTTTTTCTGAGAATTGACTAGAACAATACAAAACCATTTTTTTTTATTTGAATTCAAAAATTTTAAAATTTTGGATGAGGAAGAATTGAAAAGAATTTGAAATATCCTTGAAAAGTTCTTAAGTTTTAATGACCGTTTTAGTATAGGGTTAATATGTATCTGACACCTTAAAATATTATGTGATGCATTTAACACTCTAAAGTATTTTTTTCAAATGCGTCTATTATTGTAAAGTATTTTTTGGAGTATTTAGCAATTTTAAATATTTTTTTAGGTGCATCTAACATTTTAAAATATTTTTTGGTGTATCAAACACCAAGACAAAAAGTATATGTCAGGGTATTGGATACATTTGAAAAATACTTTAGGATGCTAAAAACACTAATATCCAAAAAAAAAAAATTTCTGGATGCTAGACGCATCTTAACTTCTTTTTTTTTTATAGTATGTATGGTCTTTATCTATTTTATAAATTAAAAGTATAGCAAGAATTGTTACAAGAAGGAATTAATATTGACCAGATCGAAATATTAAACTAAATCTCATATATATGTTAAAAAAGAAAAAGTTAGATACATTTGCCAAATGTTTGCAATATTGCTTATAGAATATTGCTAGGATAGTAATTCAAATAAGTCATGTCAAATGTGATCCTTATAAAGCAATAGAAAATAAATGAGTGAGATGAGTCTACTATTAACTAACTGAACGCATATATTAAAGAAAGTGAATGAAAAAAGAAAGCAAGCGCTCGTTAGAATTTTTTGTGATTCAATTTACACAACATAAATCATCAGTATAGTCAAATGTACAAGTAAAACACAGCAATTATGATGAACAATAATTTTCTCAAAATACAGTTTTGACAGAATAATCTAAACATGGATATGGATTTTCTCTTTACCTATTCTGTTATTATTTTCGATACTTAACACGCGTTAATTTGGTTGCTGCTGTTAATAAATTAGGCTGGCCCTCTGAATGGTTCAAAGCTTTCATAAGCATCCATGCTTGGTAATAAAATGCCACGAGTGCAAAATGATGTTCTCTTTTTTTTTTTTTTTTGGGGGGGGGGGGGCGCTTCTAGTATACAAGGTCACGCATTGTTTCTCGGTAATCTACTAAGTGATTTTTCATAGGACTAGTTGGAGGGACTTGATAAGGTTTTGGAGCGGAGAAATCTCACAAAAAGAACCATAAAAATATTAAATCTCGAATCGGTCTTGTTTCATATACTTTAATAGGTTTTGACCATACTTGACAAAGAAATAAGAACACATTTTTTTAGGACTTCCTCATTTGGGATTTTGTATGTCCCAAGTTTTTTTTAATGAGATTTTCCCTTTTGGATTTGAATTGGAATAATGTGGAAATATAAGTTATGTGTAAAAGTTACTAGATATTTCCATAATTAAGGGTGGAGCTTATGTCGATAAGAACCAAACAAATGGGATTCTAAGTAGAAAATCAATTTTAGGCCTAAACCATGATTTTAAAAATCAATTATGAGACCATCCACCAACCACACATAATCAAGGAGTGTTTGGATATTTTTCTTAAAAAACCATAGTTTTGACCTTTCAAATTCTATTTTTTTTAAAAAATTATACTCAAAATCTTGCAAATCAATTTTATAAATCTATTACAACCAAATATATTCTCAAAATTATAATTATTAAACAATTTTATTCAAAATCTATTCTCTAATCTAATCCAAACACATCATGGGATTCCCCTTATAAAAATGGCACACCAGCTGGTTTTTCTCCTTTTTATTTTGAAGTGATCATAAAGGGTATATCTTTTTATTTGAAATGGACATGCCTATGAGCTATGTGGAAGAATGCGATGCCTTTTGGGTGGGAAATGAAATGCAAAAGGGAATAATATATTATTAGAGTATTTTTTCCTGCATTGTATATGTTTAGTCCTTACATTTCTCCTAGCTGTAACTATGAGCTATGTCTCTCCTTTTTGAGTGACATGTCTTTTCACTTCTAGCTATAACTTGTTTGTATCATTTGTTAATGTGAGTACAATTGAGTTGATGTGGAAAATTTTACATTTTGGATAAAATTAGGCCTAGTAATATATATAATAAAATAGAAAGACCCATAAATTTAAGTGATAATAAGGTTTTGAGTTTAAATATAGTGTTATACATCCTTCCTTGTCCATCTGTTATTTCCCTCCATTTTTAGACTTCACTCTCTTTTCCCAACACTCTTCAAAGAAAATTAATTAATAGTCATTAATAATTTTTGGGCCTCTAATTGTGTCAATCATTTCGGTATCAAATAAAGCAGCTAGGCATTCGTTTATGCTTTTTTAAAACGGGAGTGAAGCATATTTTACGCATAGTGCATCCTAACTTTGATACTTTCAATGATTGAAAGTATTGGATCCAAAAGATATGCACGCAACGCGCAAACTAAAATTAAACTAGTGCCTAGCTTTCTTCTGTTCAACTGCATATATCCCATTTGGTACTCTCTGTTCCTTCTTTTTTTCCATAAAAGAAAATAAATCTAATCAAGTTGTTCCAAATGTTGGTTAAAATTAGTTAAATATAATACCTATGTAAAAAATTTAACTTTTTTCTCAAAAGATACCCTCGTTTATGCGGAAGAGAGAGAATGTGTACGAATTAAATACAATAATTAGTAATATGAGTAATTTAAATGGCGTAAAATGAGAAATCAAAAAATAAAATTTGAGACAACATCTAAATGTCTTTTATAAAAACAAACATGCTCTTTTCCACATTTGTCTCTTATTAAAAAAGAATAGAGAAAGGAAGATATATTAGAACTAATACCATTGTTGGTCCTTATGTTTTGATCAAATTTTAGTTTTGGTCCCTATAGTTTCAAATCATTAGTTTTAGTCCCTATACAATCAATGATTTGAGTCTACAGGAACCAAAACCAAAATTCCATCAGACTATAAAGACTAACAAATGATATTAACCCTATTTATTATTATGGCAGCTAGAATTTAGAGGCATTGTGCTTTTATGACTATGGCAATCTGAAAAAACTTCATGATCTGGTGAATGCATAAGATAATTTTTTTTTTCATAATTTGCTAACAGTTCGGGAAGGGATAGGAAAGAAAGAACTGATACATATTAAAAAAAAAAAAAAGGTAAGGACACATTAGTTGGGACGTGTTGAATTATTTCTCCCCCTCCAAAAAAACCCCACTTTTGGAGGGGACTGGGGAAGGGATGGAAAAGGACAAAAATTTGTCTCCCCTCCCATCCCCTCCTTCCAACCAAAAGCCATCTATAACTCAATCTTCTGCTATTTTGAAGGTGCTTGTTTTTTATTTGATGTCAGAGAAGCGTCAAAGAAATATCAGGGTGTTGTCCGCCTTCAACAAACACTTCTACCAGAAGTTCTTGAGGAAAAGAAGATGAAGTTTGGTAGTGTTGATGAAGGAATATCAAAAATAAAGCATAGACTCTCTTGCAAAAAGATTTTGTTGATTCTTGATGACGTTGAAGAAGTTGAACAGTTAAAAGTTAGAACAACTTGCGGGTTGTGGAAGCAAGATCATTATAACAACAAGAAACAAGCAATTGCTAGTTGCACACAATATTTTAAAAAAATGAAATGAAAGAGCTGAACGAGCAATATTCTCTTGGACTGTTTTGTTGGCATGCCTTTCCAATGAGCCACCCTCCAGAAAGCTACAGAAGTATGTCCATTGGTGTTACGAGTTATCTACGTGGCCTTCCTTTGGCTGTAAAATTGATAGGCTCCACTCTGAGAAATGGAAACTTAGCGGAACGGAGATATACGCTACAACAGT